AAATTGAGATTCAATAAAAGTGGTTCATCCAAGTGCATAGAAGAATATATTTTGTCATTTTAATTAGTGACGCATATGGACTCTGAATGTCGGAATTTTTTTTTATGTGTTTGACGTGAATGATATTATCAATGATGCTCATTATTGTTATTATTATTCAAACTTGACCTGATTGATTGTTTTGACGATATGAAATATTCTGGCGAATCTGTTATTACACAATCATCCAGCTGCTCGTAAAATCTTAAGTAGTCAACAGCTGACCATTGCCGTATCTATGACTCGATTGACCAATCAGTATCTGAGTACTCCATTAGAACGAGATTAGCCACACTTGACCGCCTAATGTGACCGTCTGCTTATCAGACTTGCAATGAAGCCGTCTGGATTTGGAGACAAATGGAGAATTCCTAACAGCATGGGAACAATTTGTTTGTAAATTGGAAACTGTGCTCCAAATAATGCGTGGACATTGACTGGAGGTGTTACGGCTGGACATGAGTGACCACTTGTAAATAGACTCTTCGTTGTCGCCAATTATCCAGAACTCAATTTGTCACATGATCATCCATTGTGTCTCATAGCCATATAGTGCTGTATTGAGTTTTGTATTTATATAGATTAGGAACTGTGTATTAAAAAGTTCAATTATGTTCTTTCGGGAGAAACTTAAGTTCAGCTAGTGTTAAATATCGCAGATTTTAGAGTTAACTTTAGAAAAAAATAATTAAGGATTAAACCTAGCAAGTGACATATTACATTTCTTGGATTTTAAGAAGATTTTGTGTGTGTACTGCAGTATATAGAACTCTTGGATGAAATATCACCTGCATGGTGAAGCGACCAAAATCGTCATTGTGATTCTTTTTAAACAAAATTTCAGGTGGTTTTAGAATTCTTATCTCGACTATAACAGTTGCCTAATAATCTCTTATCTTTTAATGGTGGATTTTCTCTGCCAATTGATATCCTAACAATCAAAAATGGTAGTCATTTGAACTTTTGAATCAGTTGCGAAAGTTTTAAATTTATCTTAAATATTTTTCTTCTGTGAATATTTAAGAGTGATATACTGAGAAAATATTTGATCATTTTAACCAAATCAATGTCATCGGGAGAATTCTACTAATTTGGTTGTTCAGTTTAGTGCCGATTCATATTGCTGATGAACGTTGATCATCAGTCGGTGGTAATTGGATTCTGGTTCGCTCTAGGTACCATATATACACCTGAGAAACACCTGCAAACCGATCGACCGGTAGAACACCTGAGTCATCGACCAGTAACCTCCAACTACAATAGCCTTTGATGTATAAAGGAAACAGTACATGATTCCAACATAAAACTCCCTGTATGTCTCAATATATTTACCGCCAAATCAATACGTGAACATTTTTACGTCCGATATTTAAAACTTGTGTACAATGATGATTCATTGACCCATAATATTCCCTGTCGCAGTATCTGTTAGGTACATAGCGTCGAATAGTGGTATATTAAATTAATATACTGTACAGGAACTCCATGTTAGGATTTACTACAGTTTGAACTCCAGGTTCACAAATGACATTATACTCGATGGTCAAGTTAAGGTAACTTTGTATTGGGAATATTTATTGGACTAGAGATTCGATAAAACATAAACTGGTACATCGCATCATGGGACAGTGTTCAAGTTCATTCTCAAAGAAAAATGTCAAAAGAAACAAGATTTGGCAGTTCAACAATACAAGTTCAAAAAGACATGTAAGTACATGAGTTGACTCAACCATTCCACAATAAATAAATATATATATATATATCGGTAATTAAGTTTTAAGTAGATAATTACTAGATGTACTATTAAATATATTATAGTTCTGTTATACTTTCTCCTCTGGTATTAAGTTCAGCTTCATTGCTGATGAATTTGACTATAATCTTTAATCAACAATGTTACGATGATACGTAAATATAGAATGACGTCTAATAGTATTAAGGTTTAAATGAATCTTTTAACAATTATGATTGTATATTATATGCATCACAGTTCGGTTCAAACAGATTCCGTGCTGCTATGTGGTAGCGGCCATCTTGTAGAATTGTTTTTAACGGAAAAGTGTTGTATAACTTCATGCATGTTCAAAATATGGATTCTAATCCTTTTTATAAATGTTCAAAACAACAAAGAAAAGTGTGTCACTTTTCTGTTTGTGATACATTTTAAACAGACTGCTTTACGAAGTTACATTTTAAACAGACTGTTTTATGAAGTTACATTTTTAACAGACTGCTTTACGAAGTTACATTTTAAACAGACTGCTTTACGAAGTTACATTTTAAACAGGCTGCTTCACGAAGTTACATTTTAAACAGACTGCTTTACGAAGTTACATTTTAAACAGACTGCTTTACTAAGTTACATTTTAAACAGACTGCTTTACGAAACTATGGGACAGCCATTTTTAAGGGAACAGAGGGTTGTGTTTTCTGTGGTTATATAACCAGTTTTGTCACATATAAGTCACAAACCACAGTTGGTTTATATATGTACACCATATAGGTCCGCCTGAAGAAACCAAATAAGGCAGAAAGGATCAATCTACGATACTTATTATTTTATTCTACATTTTCCTTTGCATGAACTTGTTTAGGAATATAAAAGCACTTTTCTTGCCACTGAGCAGTACATTTAAGAGGGGAAAACCAAAGTTAAATTAGCTCCATTTATTTTGTTAATGTACAGTATACCAGTTCAGCTAATTATAAGGTGGAAATTTGCAGTGTTGTATAATTTTCTTAATATGAAAACTATTTGACACTTGTAAGCTTAAACATTTGGTGTTATTGATACAATTCAATGATACATAATTTATCAAAAGAAATTGCAAATATGTATACAAAAGGGTATAGATATCATCACCTGAAAGGTGATGCCCTCTGATTAAGGTAGATTGTATGGTACTCCAGGGGTATAATCCCCTTTACAAGTCTATTGTATTATCTACCTGTAACAATTGCCAGGTAATTGTTGTTGACCACGAACACAATCAGTCTGCTATAGTGGTGTACAGTACAACATCACAGCTACCTGTAACAGGTGTAAATAGTGCTGTACGTGTTATATAATACATTCGTAGTACAAACTTTGTCTTGTATGGCCCTGAGACAGGTGAACTTGACCATGTGCTGGTGTTTCTTAAGGGCTATATATGTTTACACAAAGATCAGATCCCTTTTTATCTACAGTATTTAAGGGCCCATTGAAGTTTGGACTTACCTGTATTACTGCAATCTCCATGCAATTGCCACTAGGTCTACTCCATGCTGATGGGGATATGTTATTTATTCATTTTGATACAAAAAACATTGGACCGAAATACTAGAAGATGACCATGAAGGTGGTTTTAAACAATGCTATTTGGCTTGTCAAAATATTACCTGGTTTTCTTAAAGACGTTAAATCTCTTGGATTGTTAACCGTATTGCATGGACAGCTGAAAGAATCTTTCAGTCAGCAGGTTTGTTTGTTTTTATAACCAAACAGATGTGTGGGTTTCTATATATATATATACATACACCTATAGAGAATGACTATATATATTAATGCGAAATTCGTGATTTTTTTCTGCGTTTTAAATGTCATGACATTATATATCTAAACCAAGATAAAAGATCGTCATTATGGCACCAGACAAATTATTACATCGTAACATTCTGAAAAAACATGCTGGTTTAGAGATATTGGTTTCCAAACAACAGATAAATGATATTCTAATTGCTTACCTGAGGTGGTTGAGGTTCGTTTTACTGTTTCTATTATGATTTCTGCGTTTACAATTGTACTTGAGAAGAAATTACTTTTTCTTGCTGATGCAAGCAAGTTTCATATATATATATATGGTAGCTGATTCTCAAATTGCTTGTTATATAATGGATCATCTCAAATCTGGATATCTTGGTAATTATATTAAGGTTAATTTACTGCAGTGTCAAGGTCTGAGTGCACTGTTTATGTTGTTAAGGTCATTTATATTGTAAAGGTCAAGGTGTTGTCAAGGTAAATGTATATGTGACATGACAGTATACTGCAGTGTCAATGTCACAGTGTGTTGTGTTTTCAAGGTCATTATGTTGTAAAGGTCAAGGTATTGTTGTGGTAAATTTCAGAATAATGAAACAGCCATACCTCTGTAAGGAATGAACAATTTCGGTAATTCAAATTGATTAAGTTTGTTGATTTCAACAGCTGGAACTGCATGGCCAGCTGCGTACCCCTGGCCCTCCATCATCACACACATACGTCTATTTCATTGTATATTTCCTGGCCAAATATCCTGTCATCACATGCAGTTTCTTCACTTCACTTTCCTTCTCTAGCTCGGTTTCCTCAGTTACACATTTATCTTCTCGATAAGAATAAGAACTTCATGAATTACTGCTTCATTACCTTTAGTTGTCTGCTCCAGAAAAAATATATGAATTGTCACACCATACAACAAAGCATTCATAGAGGAAATGTAGTTATTTAATTCATTTTTGGTTTGTTTGTGTTTTATTTATAATTAATTCATTTTTGGTTTGTTTTTGTTTTACATCGTATTAACAGCTATGGTCATCTAAGGATGTGCCAGTTTCTGGATTAATGTTTATGCTTTACGTCGTATTAACAGCTATGGTCATCTAAGGATGTGCCAGGTTTGGGTGGTGGAGTTCCCCGAAAAAAATCCAACGACCAACGGCCAGTACCTGGTGACTGCCCCACGTAGGTCTCGAACCTGCGACCCAGTAGTGGATCGAGGGCTATAGTGGTAGCAGAATGTCAGACTCCTTAACCACTTGGCCACCGCGGGCCCAATTTCATTCCTTGTGAATCTTGATATTCCTCACATAGGTTTATACCTGTATTGTGGGACAGGCTGTGGAGATGTGAAGCTGCAGGTTTACTGCTGTGAAGTCATAGATATTTATATATCAAAACATTTTAAAACTTACCCGTTTGTCTGATTTGTATTTTCCAGGTTAACGAAGAATGCAATGTGTTACGCCTGAATCTCACGGAAGCACAGCACGAATGTGATATTGCTAGAAATGAACGAAATACTCTCACAACCAAAGTGCATGACCTTGAAAGTATTGTCAAGGTAAGAAATTATAACAAGCTCTGCAATATTTATATACTTTCATTATATTTAATTTAAGAAATTACGGGTTTCCTTTTCCTGAAATTTCTCTCATTGCACAGAAATGCTGCGTTGTATATTGGAAAAGAAAAATATTATCTCATTGTGAGTGGTGTATGCTTGTAAAGGTTGTTAGTTATAAGCCACAGGTATCCAAAACATGCATCATGTTCATTAAAATGTTTGTATGGGACATTATATATTGATTTCAAAAAGAATAGGAAAGACGTAATAGTGTCGGGATGATTTAGGAAATTGTTTTCGACTTTGTTGTAGACGTTACAAAAATCCGCTGATAAGTTGACAAATTTAGAGAATGATTACCAAACGACAAAGCAGCGACTCCACGAAAAACAGTCTGAAATCCTTAGTCTTCAGAAGGTACGTAAACGACACACCGGCCATTCTGGAAAATATTACAACATTTATACAGTAAAACGTTGATATAATAATGCCCATAGTTTCATCTGCCACCAGTCGCTTACCACCAACAGTTTTCAAGGTCCATTTTTATCTTTTACTGAAGAATTCTGTGATATGTTCCCTTCAATTTATCACCAAACACCGAAATTTCTCTGGACAAATGGTGGCAATATAACAAGGTTTTAGTGTAGATAAAAAGGTGCCTATTGATAATATGAAGGGATTGTTGATATTTAGCTTGCCTTCTGTTGTTGTCTTTTTTTTGACATTGGTTTGTTGTCTGTTGTCATCTGTCAAATTTTGCTTTAAAAAACATCTTCTACCAAACTACTGAACATAATTCAACCAAATTTTGATGCTTATAAGCATCCTTAGGACATTGGGAGCACAATTTGTACAAATGAAGGGGCTGACCGTCTTGAGAGCTAAGGAGGGTTGGTCAAGAAGGGTCAAAATGGCTGATTTACTATTAACACTTTCACCCCTATGCAACTTTAGCAGACTCTTCCATGCATTGATCTGGATGAGTCCGTCCATGGTCTACAGTGGTGAAAGGGTAAATGGCACTAACAACTTGGCACACACTGATTTGTTGTAGAAACATGCCAAGCTCATATGTGATCAAAAGGGGACTTCGGGGCTTAACCCTTTCACCCCTATGTAACTTTAGTAAACTCTACCATGCATTGATCTGGTTGAGTCCATTTTAGTCTACAGTGGTGAAAGGGTTAACCTTCTGGAAGCAGGTGGTTGGGAGTCAAAATTTGTCAATTTGGAAGTTTTACTTCAAACAGAAGGACACAATTTTCACAAAATTGTAATTATGTTAGCATCCTTATCCCATGGGGATAAAAGTTAAACAGATAAGGGGGCTGGCCCTTCTGAGGACTGCTTATAAGTCTCCCACTGAACTACTGGGCAGATTTCAACTGATTTTCTTAACGACTTATAGATAGGAGAAATATCAAGGCCCTAATTAAGGCCTTTATGCTTTGGGTTTTCTCTCCTTTGCTTTTTATTTTGTTAAACTTAGATTTGATTGATCCAGAAATTTGAAGCTGTAATGACAAGTTAAAATATCCTTCTCTAAAAGACAGTATCACTGTTATGAAGACGCATGCATGTTTCCACCTCCAACATACTTTTTTTTTTTCTTTTTTCTTTTTTTTTTAGAAATTAATCAAATAATCTATTCCATACATGACATTTTCTAGCAGATGGCAACAAAATGCTTGTTTTAGGTAGAAAAATGACATTGATGTGTTATCTGTCTGAAGCGATTTCCTTTTTCACAATCTAACAAAACAATGGTCTATAACTCTTTGGATGACAAGATGAAAGTGCCTAAAAATAGAATAAAAATGGCTATAAATTTGTACGGATACCTGGCCTCGTACCAATTCAATGCCAGAAAATGGAGATAAATTTTGCTGAGTTAGCTCAGAGATGATTATCTCAGATTTAAAGCTTTTTGTCATCAGAGAAGTTGTTACAGCACTGACGTGCTACAGGTGACTCCGACGTAGGCGTTTGTACGCCTCGTGAAGGTCGGAAGGAAACTGTTGCATGTTCCTGTATCATATGAGAAACCAACATGTGCCGTAAAAATCATTGAAATTCGTCGTTAAAATGCGACAAGCAAGCTTGGGTAATGAATCGGATCTATATATGCAAGCGCAAATTTCGCCATGTTGCTGATTAAATGTTATAAAACATAAGATATTACCGTTAGATATTTGTGGCGTCCCGACACCTCCCACAGGCGAGGTAATGGACAGGTGAGAAACCAACAGGTGCGTTAACACATAACAGTATAATTCTTCCCACTAAAGCTGTAATCCAGAAGTGTGGGCTTTTGAAAATAACAGGTTTGTTGACGATGTTGATTAAGATGCGGAATTGATTTATGTTCATGACTAAGACATAGAATCATCTGAGTGTAAAATTTAGAAATGCATGTTCAGTTTTATGTCAGATTTGATGAAATGACGTTACTAATGCTTTTCTGCTGTTTGTTCCTTAAAGGACCAGGACAGTAAATCCAAAGACAATGAAGAGGTTGTGACCTCCTTACAGGTAAATACTAACCTAGAAGTGACAAACCAATCACAGGTAAACCTCATTACAGGTAATCATTATGACATAGCTTGTACAGGTACATACATGTACTATTACAGGTGACATATATAGAGTCTGCATCATCAAAATTAAACATATATGTCTCGTTACAGGTGAATAATGCCTCGTTATAGGTAATTTCTCATTAAAGGTAATTTTTCATTAAAGGTCAACATCCACGCCTCACTATAGGTTAATTTATACTGTTGCATTTATAATCATTTGAAAAGGGTACATTATGGAGGTGTTGGTTAAGGGACATTTTGGAGGTTTGTGAGGGAAGGGACCCGATTTTGGAGATTGGGAGGGAGGGGACATTTCGGGAGGAGAGGAAGAGTTTATTGTGAAGGTTGATGTGAGGGAGAGTACATTTTGGAGGTTTATGTAATTATAAGGGAGTGTATATTTTGGAGGTAAATGTTATGGAGGAGGGTACATTATGGAGATGGATGCTAAGGAGAGGTTATTTTGGAGGGTTAAAAAAAACAAAAAAAAACATTAAAGTATGTTGCTATGGAATACATTTCTAAAGATAGGGAAGTATGAGGCTATATTTGGTGTTTACCAAAGTTTGTTAGTGTATAGACACTTATTTATTGGTTTGATGGAGTACATGTGCAACTTGTAATTATTCAAATGTGTTTTGTAAAAAAGAATCGTTAATTCATCAAAATCATTGTCGAAAAGGAGGCAATTACCAATGATCAGGAAATTGTGTAAAACATAGATTGAATGAGAAATGTTAATTCAATGTATTCTAGTACTCTAAGGAAAAGGGAAGAATGGACCCAATAAATTCAATTAAAAATGATATGCAGGGAAATTGTACATCATTGTTGACCGTCACGTGACCTTAATTCTTTACAGAATAAAATTGAAGAGCTCCGAGAAACCTGTCATAAACAAGAACAACAACATAAGGAGATTACACAGGAACTCAAAACACTACAAGCTGCAGCCAGTCAGCACCCCCTGGTGGACAACTGGGCACACATATCACATCCAGGAGGAGATAACTCAGAGAAGAAACTTAACAATAACTCCCTTAACTCATCAGGCAGTCCTGTACATGGTATGTATATATTTATGTTTCACCAGCACAAATTTCTAGTTATTATTATTAATTGATACAAATTATGTCATCTTTGGCCTGTTTTTACTCTATGAACTAATTATATAATTCAGAAGTAAACACGGACACATTTGCCAACATTTTGAAATTTCCAGGGGAGGAGATTACGCATGCTCAGAACTAAATGCATAAATGAAACACCCCAAGAAATAAACCCACTTTTAAATGGCATCCTTTGAGCTTTTCTTTCAAGTGAAATCATCAGATCTTAGAAAATTGGAATAGTTTAGCAAATTCACAGGTTGAACATGCTTAATTTTTTGGGCCAAAATCGGGAGTCTCCCTCCTTAATAGGGAGAGTTGGCAAGTATGCAAGGATGATATTGTTATGGAGGTTGTTTTAACTCAGCAATAACAGTTAATATATAGTGGACCTTACCTAAAGTTGTTTTTTCTTCTTTTTTTTCACAGAACATTTTCATCCAATAAACATAAGTTCTCAAGAATCGTTACCAGGGAAACTAGTAAATGGAAGTGATAATACGCAGGTGGACTCCACAAAGTCGTTGGATACAGGTAATAACACTATCAGACGATCCTGTTGCTTTTTAAGTGGAACATATGTGTTCCTGGTTTGTTTGACACGACAAAGATGCAATCATCTGTTTTACGTTGTGATGAGGACCTCCTGTCTGTCAGAATGGTCCTTTAAACCTTGGCAGCTGATAATTAAGAAATGTAAAGAGGTTGCGGAGGGGTCGAGGAGCATGTTTGAGGTCAAAGGTCAAAACATAATTAACCTGCATGGGGTCTACCGGTGTAGGTGAAGGGTGATCCTATTAGACAGGTGATACACGAAGTAAATATATTCAAGGAGTTAAGCCAGGATTATTTGTCTACTATACAGATAAAAAAACACTGTGTGGACTTTGCATATTGAATCCTCGAAAAGGTTTTGTACAAAAGTGCATACATATATTTTAGTTATATACTGTATAACCCAATTAATGATAAAGGGTAATGTTCCCTTATAATTAAATTAAAAAAAACAGACAACACATTTTGGTTCATAACTGATGACTGTTTATCAATTCTGATTTTTTTTTTTTAAATCCACAAAACACAACATTACCCTGTACTTTCATTGTCGAGCAACTTTTTTAAAATTTGAAGTCTTTTGCAAATATTTGGTCGATGATATTTCAACAACACATGTAGCATGTCAGCTATTGTGATGTTCATATATTTGAATACTTGTGATTTAGGCCAAAATTTGCTGCTATTGATTTGAGTTTTTTTTAGTTAACTTATAAAGCACTGTTTAAGTCGGATATACTTATAAATATAACCCTTGTAAAAGGATTTTGCAAAATAAAAGGGTTCGTCTAATGTTTTGGAAGCCCAAAGTGGCAGCATAGCAACTAATATTTTGGCCATATATTTACATGAATCACAAAATTAATCGTTCAGAAAAAATAAATGGCATAGTCATTTCTTCTATGAATGAAATTAAACAATATAAATACTAGTGTTTGTGATATTATACCGGTTAGTTACCATAAATCTGAAGAAACTAACAGTTGAAATAGACAGTAAAAAGAAATGCTGAATGTAATGCTATGCAATGCATATACGTATGTCAAATTATGCAGTTACCCACTCAAACCTGCCTCAAATCCTGCTAATGCCAAATGCTGGTCAAACTTGCATGTCCACTGATGAGTGCTGTCAAGCAATGTGGTCAGTCTCACTTCTCTCCCCCACTGACCATGAGGCTTGACCCCTACCTCAGTAAAGTTGCCTTGAACTCATTCACCCCTGAAATTTTATAATGAACTATTCCAACCTATGAACTGGAAGAGTTCAAATGTGTTTTCAGGGGTAGGTAAATGAGTTAATTGATTAATTCCCTTTGTCCAATTTCTTGAAAATTCTGAATTTATTTTTTAAAAATAATCAACATTAAATTCTTTTCAAATCTTTTCTGCTTTTGTCACTTTATTCTTCAAAATTTCAATTCAAAACTTTCTACTTTTAAAAATAATTGTTTTTAACTCTTATATTCTGAACTCCTGACTAACTCACGATTTCAATCCAAGTCATGAATTTGTTCTCCATGTTTTTCCTATTTTATCTCTAAGCTTATAGATATACAAACGCATATGTTAATTATCTTTATAAATTGTTCTCAAAGCTTTCATTTTGCTTAAGTACATGTCATGTGGTCAACTTAAAGAAAGAAAGGCTTTTTAGCTCGCCTGGCATGAAGTGCCCGTGAGCTTATCCTGTGGCACATTGTCCGTTGTCCGTTGTCCGTCCATCCGGCTGAAACACACCTTTGTGACTTTTTCTAAAAGCTCTGACGCTAATTTGAACCAGACTTAATATGGAGAATTACAGTCTTGAACAAATATTGTTACTTTTTGGATTGGTTTGAAGTCCACAAAATCTTGCCTCGTATCATATACGTGATCTACAAGTTAAGATTCAAGGAGCCTCAGAGGGCCGGCGACCATAGGCTTTGCCTAGGCCTGTTGCCCAATTCCTTTTGTATATCTATGATGTGAACAAGTTAATATTCTGAAATGAAATATCTTTCCTGTCATGTGATTGGCTGAAGTATTTTCAGCTTGCTCTCACATTCCAGCAGGTTGATATTATTAAAATTAGATAAAATTGGAACAAAATACCAAATATAGCTTAAACCATGGTCTCCATAAATTGTAAGGAACATTTTCAACTTCTTCTCTAGCTCAGAAAACATAACAAAAACTGGTGAGCAATACAGGAACCATAGGCCTCTTGTTTCATCTTTACAGTAACGTATACTTAAAGTTATTATGAAGAAAAGAAGACATCTTTTACATTTTTTTTATGAAAACCTGAAAACAGAATGCATCAATTTGTTGGGGCAATTTTTTTTGCTGAATCAACTTCTAGTGAAATAAAACAGTTTTCATATCAATTTATATCAATGTAGCTTCAGAAAGCATGACAACATTATCCAAGAGGTTCAATATTAACACCAAAATATTTATTTCACAGGAGAATCTCGCCTGTTTGGTGGAGGTATAGTGATTTCTATAGCATGCCTGTATTTATTTTTGGTCTCAGGTTTTGCGGACGACGATACTGTTGAATTAGAAAATTCCAATGAACCCTCCCCTGACCAGGCCCAACCCCCTCCAGGGCCCTACGAGGACCCTGAACTTTACGAAATAGCTAAAAAACTTACTGAACTGGAAGCCGCCGACTCTGAGGAGGAAAATTTACCCACGGAAGGTGATAATAGCTGGTGTGGTTCAATTGAAGTGAGAGTGAGGCTTTGGGTGGGAACCACCTTAAATTATTTTATCAAAATATTCATTTGAAATTTTAGCACACCAGTGTATTTGCCGGAAAAATTTAATGTTTAGACATTTAAAAAAAAAAAAAAGAATTGTGAAATATAAGAATTTTGAAACAGATTTTTGTTCGAACATCAATAAAAATCTAAAATTCTAAAAATTGTTGAAAAATTATTAAAGCAGTGTGATATTTGTTGAAAAGAATATTATCATTTTTGAAAACATCCATCTTTCACATATAACTATGATGCTAGATTAGGTTGTTTTTTTCTCTCTCAATGCTATGTTACTATAAACAGACTAATTAAGGTGTGGTAGTGTGGAAGACATTATTAAGATTTCATCAACAGACAGATGCCCAACTGCATTATATCACTCTGAGCCTTTTGTGGGCGTTTGTGATAAATGGCTCTCCCTATAGTGTCTGCATGCAGAAGATTGTGCGATCGTGTCCGACGCAATCAACCCGTCGTGTCCGTTGATCTACCTGTGATGTGTAATGTCATTTCACCTGCCTTGGCTAATAAAGGCTGCATGTGGGAGCACTAAGCAAATAAACTCTTGAAACCTGACGAAAATGGAAATGTCAGTTGTTGCGAAATCTTCGGAAATCATCTCTCATTACCTTTGGAAAATCACTTTGAATTCAGTTTTTAGGTTTTATAATAAGCTTCAAACTATCGTCTCATGTTTTTTCCATTTTTTATAAAATTTATTTTTTTAAATTTCACATATTAATGTAAAATCATTTGTGAATTGTAAAGTCGCAGATCGCCTTATTCTTGTGCTAATAGATTAACTTAGCTTTCGCTGTCTCCCCACACTTGCTTTTCCCATTAACAAACAATTATGCTAACTCTGCAGGTGGATGCAGCTTTCTGCACATTCCTTAAGGATACATGCTACCTTACACATTATATCTGTTACATTTGTTTGAGTTATCTCCCTTTAAGAAGTGTGCTACTTTATATATTAAATCTGTTAAATGTGTTTAAGTTATCTCCTTGAAGGATATAAAATACCTTTCACACATTTAATCTGTTGCATGTGATTGAGTTATCTCCCTTGCTTTTAATTAACATTATCGAACAATTGTGAATTATTTAAGCATATATATAGTCAATGTTTGTGTACCGGTCAAATGTGTTGACAATAAATCAACAAAGGCAACACTCATTTTCGAGACTGTATACATGTATATAACAGGTTTCTTAAGTAATGTAGCATACATCCTTAAGTCTATTAATAAGATTATACTTCCTAGTGTATTATTAACACTTCTTTAACTCATTACTGCTGTATACAGCAAAGTATGATATGTGAATTCAAAATATACATTTGGTTTGATCATGGCGACGTAACTGGCTGTCATTGACACAGTACAATAAGGTTATTTAGGACTATTACACGGTGAAATGGTATTTCAAATAGTTGACCACTGTTTCACAAACCCATATACTGAACTCTGTAAATTTAATGTTTTCATTGAAAGGTTTAATTAGATTTTATAACATAAAAATATTTTACAAAATGCTAATTTGGATTTCTTTCTTTCCTAATTTGTAATTTGTTATTTATTTTACCTGATTTCTTGCAATAAATGTCAAAATTAAAATTAATTTAATACAGAAATAAATAAAACTTCATACCAAAAAAATAAGTAAATGAAAAAATAAGAAAATAATAACAACACATAGTAATTTACCTTTTTTTTTTGGTCATTTGGTAACCTGATTTAAAATGATTAAAAAAATCTGTATGATTCTTTTAATATGAAATGTCTACTGAAAATCCTCATTAATATGAACAATGTTATATGTTTATATCAAAAATGAAAAGAATTTGTTGTTTTTTTAATCTAAATAAACAATCGTTAATATAAACATACAATAACATTATTTGCTCTAAATAGACGTCTGAAATTCATTGAAAAAAAATATTGTACATGTATTTGATTTCTTTTTTTATAAAAACAGATAAATCATTTAAATTAACATTTCAAAGCGAGCCATGTAGACATTACCCGTAAATGGATTTCAGATTTATTATCGAAAAGCTTCATATCTGACCATTACTGATGAGTTGTAAAATTTGATTTAAACTTATTAATTCCGCAATTTCATTTTAGTTTAATTTCATATATCAAAATCAGGAGAATGAATGAAATGAGATGTGGTGTCTGCAAAAACCACATCCTTATCATCTATCAAGGAATCAATGTTCATTTCTGAATGAACAGTACAAGAAGGCAGTTTATCATCTTTTTTAGGGGGATTTGGGAATTGTTTTAGAATTGGTTTCCCTTATGAGTATTTTTTGTGCATGCATTGTTATAATTTTTACTGTTTTATTTATGACCGTGTGGGGTATTAACACGTTAGTGTTCTATCTCTTGCACAAATTTTGACATGATATTGATTTTTGGGATTTCAAAATTATGGAAGGCTTTTCAGTTTAAAATTTCATTTTTTATAACAAATCATAATTTTTAGAAAAAACATTCTTGAAATGTGGTACTGTCTCTTTAATCAATATTAACTTTTAAAACAACTGATTGTTTAAATTAATCCAAGATCATATATCTTGTGTACATTGATGGTCAATTAACCTGCGGACTTGCTTGACCATACTAGTGTAACCTTGAATTGACCTCAGTGGTTCTGTTATAGCAATCAAAGATAATCCATACATTTATGTCCAGCATTGCTGCACTGACCACAGTGTCCAGTTAATTGTTCGATAATACCACTGGTCACTTTAGATAATTGTATACAGTTTGTTGTATGAATAATTGATTGTTACTTAATTTAGGACACAATGATATATGGTTTAATTAACATTTCATTGTTGATGTTGTTAATATGAGATGGGAGTGGCCATGAACACCACCTTGCAAAATGCCAGGGGATTTTATAACTTGAAATAAACAAAACAAGTAATTTTATTGAATATCCATTGTCAATGAGGTGACCATAAAAGGGGGGGGGGTAATGTGTTGGGAGTGAAGGACGGGGAAGTCATGGTGTCGTATCAATGGGGAGGAATTATAGGGGTCAATTTGGGGGGGGGGGGGGGGGCGCCCCGATGTTTGAGCGCAGGAGGTCTTAATGTGGGAGGGAACCGGAGCTTCAGAAGAAAACCCAAATCAATTAGTTATTTAGATATTTTAAAAATGTCTTTGGTCCATATTCAAAACTGATAGATCATGGATAAAATAAGGAAGGCTGAGAATTATCTGGAAATATAGACATAGCAAAATTGTCTCCTATGAATTTGTTTTATATAAGTGGGGGATGGGAAAAGTGATTATTCAGGATCACTTCCTTGGTGGGAATTAGCGATTATTGTGAACACTTCTATGTTTGGGTTGTATGATAAAGTTGTTTTGATACAATTTTCACCTCGATCTGGCTTTTATATGTTCTAAGTACATAACGCCTGCAGTCAAACATCTGCTCCTGTAAAATGTGTACGCATGACATTTATGGTTTATTTAAAGAATGCAAATTTGTGGTAATTTTTACAGATACACAGATTTGTATCAGGCTTGTGGTATGGTAGAATAATACTGACCTGTCTATCATACAAGCTATGATAAGCTATTGCATTACCGCCATAAGGTTATATACATTGTATGTGTCATATTTACAAAATTTGTTCTTGTGTAAAGTCACTTGTTTTTAGCTGGTCACAAATTTGAAACTAGAGACAGAAAATGAAATGATTTACTTATTGATGTGAAATAATGGCGGTTCATTTTTGGCAATGCTGTCTGTTTTCAGAAAAGGGAGACGACTCCGGTATGGAAAGTAATCGAGAGATGAGGGTAAGAATTTAAAACTCCTTCTTTTCATTTAGTTAATTTTCATGTTTAAATATATGTTACACGTATTTGATATTAATAAAACTGTTACAACAAAAATTAGTAACCCTACAAAAACGTATTGTGTCATTCCTAAAGTTTCCTACAATGTGACTTGAATTTGTGAATTCATTTAATTCATGAATTTATTAATTGGGATTGTGATGGCCTTATAAGGATTGTATGACCTTATACGGGATAGTGATACCAGGGATTGTGAAAAAATTATTAGGGAATTTATACATTTTTTATTGGGGATTTATTTACCCAATTCCTGTGAAATGTTTTAGGAAGTTCATGAACAGTTTGTCTTCTAATGCAAAATAGGCTTTCAGTACAGATGGGTCAAATGGATTGTGCTATAAATTGCAAAAGATACAAGAGTTTGATATTCTGAATCAATTATGTAGATTAATCTGTCGTGTTTTATCCAGCACGGCACTTTCAGGACCGATTCCTTCCATCAGGCGATTCCTTTGAAATATGTCAACTGTAATCACTGCTAACTCACTGTACATAATCTTGGTTAGAATTTTTCTACTTCAACAGACCAGCATTATGAGCAATGACAGAAATTGTCTGCGTGACTGAATTCATCCTCCACCGATTCCTTTATAATGGATATTGGATGAAAGAAAATGCGAGAATGAGGGTGTGAGAAATGCAGGAGATATTTCCTGGGAATTTTTTTTTTCCCAATAAAGTATATAACATTATCTGAAATCTGTTTAGGTATGTATTTTAATGGTTTCCTGGGGCATGATAATGTGTACTATGTCATAAATATCCGTGTTCTATTCAAACTTGTTGCCATAGCGATATGAATAACAACGTGACCATAAATTTAGAAGACGCAGGGGTAAAAAAGTCAGGTTCCCGCCAGGTTTCATTATATGGATGACATAATCGGGGCGAAAGCCTGCGTCCCATTGTTGTTCACTGTTAAAACTACCGGCAGTATAATCGCGCAGTGCTAATACCTTCATTAGCATTGTTGCTCCTGCCACGAGGCATTCGTATGAGCGGGTTAATGAATTTACATCATGGGCTTATAGAACAGGCTAACTAATGATACTTTTTTTTCCTCAAATTTGATGCATAGGTTTACATAAAAAAAAAAAAAAAAAAATTGTCTGGAAAACATCCATTATATTGTGATTGATGATAGCATAGATCCTTCATAGGAAATGCATATTTTTTATTTAAATGAAATTATAGCTAAGTAATTTTGATAGGTTATCATTTGCTTTAAGAGAATATTAAAAACTAAATAAGTTTAATATCACTGCGGTAGATCGCTCAAATTACATATTTTATTTTATAGTGATCTGTTTCCCTATACTGTCAAACTGATTTTATTTTCAATAAAAATAATTTTAAAAACCCAATAGTTTGAATATTTTTCAGTTTCCATAGCAATTACATGTATCAACAAATTCTCCAACTGTTTATCATAGAGTTTGTTCAGGGATGCAATATTTCATTGTTACAAGGTTTAATGCTGTATCACAAATGTATTTCATATCTGTTAATTTCCAGGTCAAACCCATGGAAAATGGCCACTCGGGTGAAGAGAGCCGCAGGTCAGCACTGGGCAAGAAGGGACCCTTACAAGTGTACATTGCCAAATATAGCTATGACCCCTTCCAGCACTCGCCCAATGAAAACCCTGATGCAGAACTTTCAATCAATACCGGTGATTACCTCCTAGTTTACGGGGAAATGGACGAGGTAAGGATTTGATTGGACGTACAGTTTGTGGTTGAAAGTGTGGACGACACTCATGTACATTGAAAATGGTTATAAATACAGGTGTCAAAATTACACAGGTTCAATTTACATAGGATTGTATATACATGGGGACATTATGTCTTATACAGGTGTCTGGACTGTACAGGTTCGTTTCAAAGGTCTGGTTTGATGCAGGTGTCCAAATAACACAGGTTCAATTTACATATTGTATACATTGGGACCTAAGTTGAAGGTCTGGAATATACAGTTGCCCAGATTACACAGGTTGAGTTTACATAAGAGTGTATACATGAGGACCTGTAATGATAGGTCTGGTTTATACAGGTGTCCAGGTTACACAGGTTCAGTTGACATAGGAGTGTAAACATCAGGACCTGTAATGATAGGTCTGGTTTATACAGGTGTCCAGATTACACAGGTTCAGTTTACATAGGAGTGTAAACATCAGGACCTGTAATGATAGGTCTGGTTTAATACAGGTGTCCAGATTACACAGGTTTATACAGGTTTCTGAAATGTGCAGCTTGCAGTTCATTTGAATTACACATGCATTATTATATAGTTTATAAGAGCTGGAAAAAGCAAAAATACGAACAGTGAAATATAACGTGTACTTCAACAAGGTGCTACTTGTGATAATTCCTGACCAACATTTTTTGTCAGGGTTTTATTTTAATCTTGCATACAATTTACAAATCAATACATGGAAGGTTTTCTATTGTAGATAAAAGTTATTTAAAGGAAACATGAAATAATGTTAGTGATTTCAGTAAGGGACTATCAAACTCACTTGTTTGACCAGTCAGGTTTTCAATCATTTAGTCTAATGACATACTCAGTCAGTATAGAATAACATTTTATAGGAAAAAATAGGCAAATGTAATTCAAATACATAAATCTTGTTCAAATCTGATTATAATGGTATGGAATCTGATAGGCTTTCTCCGAGATTTAACATTCCGAATGAGGAAGTGAGGTGAACGCGTTTCGATACAAGTGGGTGTTTCACCTAGGTTTTGTTTTAAGCCTATTATATACAGCCGAGTGATCAGTCGAATGACGAGGAAAGTTCTGACTCAAAACTTTTTTTTTTTTTGTGGATTCTTCGCAACACACAGCGTAATCAGCTGGAATTATTATCTGATAAAATCTTGTGTGTTGTACTGTACTGTAGGAAACAACGACATGTAAATACATGCACAGAGTCGATAGACAAGTATAATCAATGGCCGCCGCACATTGACTGTAACACGGAAACGTCGGCTCTCCAGGTACTCAGCCGCAAAAAATATATACAACGTTCATTTAACTCGACGCCATCAAACACTGTGGTGTTATATTTATGGGCAAATACTGAATGTTTATATAGATATTATGTTGTCAAATAGTGATGTTTATATAAACATACATGGTCAAATAATATCCCAATAACACATACCTACATAATGGTTGATTCTTAGAATACAGTAGATTTCGCTTAACCCTTTCACCCCTATGTAACTTTAGTAGACTCTACCATGCATTGATATGGATGAGTCCATTATGTTCTACAGTAGGTTTCTCTTAATATCACTTCTCATTTGTCAGAGGAAAACATGATATTAACTGGAGCATGACATAAAAAGAAAATATGCTATTAACTGGAGCATGGCATAAAAAGAAAATGTATTATACCTCAGATATAAAGATCCATGCAAGACCTTCAGGACAAGCTAACACTAATTTGTATGTTATTGAGATGGTGGCACTTGCTGATGCTGAGATAATTACCACAGTCATTCAAACAATTTTTTGACATGTTAATGATAATAATAATTGGTGGTTCTTATATACCGCTTTATCATGTCCTTATTCATAGGTCATCCCAAAGCGGTTCACAAATTATTATCCATGGTTATAGGGCCTTTGCAACCAGCCAATACATTTCTCAACTCCCTGGGGAGCATACAGCCGGAGCTGCCATTTCGGCGCTAGCTCAGTTTTCTACAATTCTAGGACTGCCCAACCACGTACTCATTTACAGCTGAGTAGACTGGAACAAGCGGAGTAACACATTGCTGTGCCGTGGTGCGAACCCGCAACCCTTCGGCCACGAGCCCGGCGTCCTACCACTGGACTACGGGCCGTGCCTCGAGAGTTGTTCTCAACTATGACATCATACAAATCTGAATTGTACTTAAGGGTGTATGCTACCTTACTGACATTTGTACTAGAGTTTAATATAATAATCTTCATCAAACCTTTCAACTAGTATTATTTCTAAATAACTCATATCCAGGATTTCTTTCTTTTATAGTCATATCAAATATCCCATCCAGAGATTATTCTAGCCCTGATTTTATGGTATACGAAAATAATATCATTTTCGATTTTTATGCAAGAACAGAAGATAATTGTCAGCTCATTCTGAACAGACAGATTTATAAAAGTTCTGTACTTCAAGTGTAGACAACATCATTGCTGACTTTTTTAATCAAAAACACACCATTACTGTAAAACTGTTTTGTGACGTACGTTTCAGCGAGTCATTATCGTCCAACTTTACATTGAACATTATTACATTCATGTTTCTGCTCCGTTTTGAAATTGGCTCCTAATTGTCCACGTTAGAAAAATAAATCAACAACTATACATAAAATCAGTTTGAATTAATATTTGAACATTTCCTACTGTAATCACTTAATTGTTTGTTGCTAACCGCCGAGATCTTGATGGGCTAGTTGTATTTGGCTATGTATATGGAGATGAGACGGAATCCAGATATTGGAGATTTGCCTTTCTAATTATGCTGACTACCGGGCTAACATGGTTGCACTGCTTTGTAACTAATTTCGTATCCCCAGCTGATCAATAGTACGAGGCAGAGTGATTACCGATATACTTCCTACTACATAGAAAACATGGCTGATCGCTCCGATGGGGAAACTGCTCTCCAAAAGTTTGGTCAGCTTTCAAGACAAATATTTGAAAGAGTGTAGGTGAATTTGGAAGGACTACTAGTGTGTGTATGAGTTTAGGTGAATTTGGAAGGACTCCTAGTGTGTGCATGAGTTTAGGTGAATTTGGAAGGACTCCTAGTGTGTGTAGGAGTTTAGGCGAATTTGGAAGGACTACTAGTGTGTATATGAGTTTAGGTGAAGTTGGAAGGACTCCTAGTGTGTGTATGAGTTTAGGTGAATTTGGAAGGACTACTAGTGTGTGTTTGAGTTTAGGTGAATTTGGAAGGACTCCTAGTGTGTGTTTGAGTTTAGGTGAATTTGGAAGGACTCCTAGTGTGTGTTTGAGTTTAGGTGAATTTGGAAGGACTCCTAGTGTGTGTTTGAGTTTAGGTGAATTTGGAAGGACTCCTAGTGTGTGTTTGAGTTTAGGTGAATTTGGAAGGACTCCTAGTGTGTGTTTGAGTTTAGGTGAATTTGGAAGGACTCCTAGTGTGTGTTTGAGTTTAGGTGAATTTGGAAGGACTCCTAGTGTGTGTTTGAGTTTAGGTGAATTTGGAAGGACTCCTAGTGTGTGTTTGAGTTTAGGTGAATTTGGAAGGACTCCTAGTGTGTGTTTGAGTTTAGGTGAATTTGGAAGGACTCCTAGTGTGTGTTTGAGTTTAGGTGAATTTGGAAGGACTCCTAGTGTGTGTTTGAGTTTAGGTGAATTTGGAAGGACTCCTAGTGTGTGTTTGAGTTTAGGTGAATTTGGAAGGACTCCTAGTGTGTGTTTGAGTTTAGGTGAATTTGGAAGGACTCCTAGTGTGTGTTTGAGTTTAGGTGAATTTGGAAGGACTACTAGTGTGTGTATGAGTTTCGGTGAATTTGGAAGGACTCCTAGTGTGTGTTTGAGTTTAGGTGAATTTGGAAGGACTCCTAGTGTATGTTTGAGTTTAGGTGAATTTGGAAGGACTATTAGTGTGTGTATGAGTTTAGGTGAATTTGGAAGGACTTCTAGTGTGTATATGAGTTTAGGTAAATTTGGAAGGACTACTTGTGTGTGTATGAGTTAAGATGAATTTGGAAGACTACTTGTGTGTGAATAAGCTCTGCACGGAGCCCGACACATTAGTGGAAGAAGAAGAATGGATTTAGGTGAATTTGGAAGGGCTTATACTAGCTAATATTTAATTTTAAAGGCTGGTTTTGTATAGGTATCAGTATTGACTGTATTATCAGTGATATTATGTAAGTCTATGAAAGGTATGTTACACCAAAACCTTGTTAAGCCATTTTTTCACAACTGTTATCTTCAGGTGATAATGTGTCTCATAGATGATGAGATGTTTATAGGAATTTGAACAGGTGGTCATTTACAAAATGTGTTTCTTTGACAAAACTCAGTGTACGGCAAGAAAGAGATAAAAAGAACTTCCTGTCTACTCTCCATTTCATGTGTGTGACTTCACAATGGGACAACAGTGATGTTACGTAACAAAATTTGAAACATGCTGCGGAATGAACAAGGCCTTTCTGCGGTTTCTGAGCGAATTGTAGTAATTGGAATGACAGGGGGAAAAAATATTTCATGCCCAAATGTGAAGGATAGGGAAATCCGCATCCCTTTTGATTTTCGAATTTCAAAACCATCTGCAAGCCTTGGATTTTCTCAATATTAAGACTGTTTGGGTGGCATTTCCCTAATTCTTCATCCTTGGACATGAAATACTCTTTTATTATTGCAATTCTTGATAGTTGATTATCTTTTGTACAGGAAACAAAGTTCTACCACTGTAAATTATATTCCAGTTGATTATGTGGACGGTTTGTTTTATACCCAGATCAACACCTCACCAAACTTGTATATAGTTCCAATGCCATGATAAGAAATAACAAAATTTTAAAGAAATTATCAAAACCCGTTTTTTATCTGATGTTTATAGACTTAAATCAAAATTTTAATCGAAAATGAATATTATGCTGATTGCAGTTTTAATTACTAAGAGTCCTGGTACAAGAGGTTTTCATTAGTTAAAAGCTTAGGAGGAGGGATATAGCACTGTGACGGAAGCACTATGACAGTCTTGGTTGTCAGATGTAAAATTAAACAAATAACAATCTTCCTTTCCTAGGATGCCTTTTACGACGGTGAACTGATTGATGGACGGAGAGGATTGGTACCGTCAAACTTCATAGAGAAAGTCAAGGGTAGGTACAGTCATTGGAAATGAATTGACAGGTGGCACAGTGGATAACGCACTCGTCTTTCACCAAGACGGTTGGGGTTCGACTCCCCGATCGGACGTAAAAAGGTATTAAATTACCTGCTGGCCACATGGGTTTTCTTCGGGTACTCCAGTTTCCTCCCACATTAAGACCGCTGTGTGCTTTCATCTGGGCCAACAAGAGTGATTAATATAAATTGTTATAACTTGTTCCATAATTATTGTTAGATAAATAAATATGAACTGGAAAATGAAATATGTCGTACTTCAATAGGTCCATGAAAATTGGTGCATAAAACATTAAAAACAATGTTACTGTTTACATCAAAATGTCAGTAATGAATTTATAGAATGTCATTATTGTAACACTTTCCACAGATGAAGACCTTCCAGAGTTCCACGCTGCCATGGCTGGCTTCGCCCATCACGAGGAGGACAGCAATGCTCCAAGCAGCATACAGCAGGACCTTGACTTCGACAGCAGCGAGGAAACCGACGATAAACCTCTACCTGTAATAACAGGTCAGTACTTACTTCTAGGTCACGGAAACCAGTTTAAACGTTGTTACATGGTTATAGCACAATCTGACCTACCTTCAAACATGGTCACATGACTAAAGCATCATCTGGTCTACCTTCAAATGTGGTCACATGATTATAGCACCATCTGACTTACTTTGAAATGTGGTCACATGACTAAAGCACCATCTGACTTACTTTGAAATGTGGTCACATGACTAAAGCATCATCAGGTCTACCTTCAAGCATATAGTCACATGACTTTAGCGTCATTTGGTCTACCTTCAAACATGGTCACATGACTATAGGACCATCTGACCTACTTAAAAAATCAGAAAATACATTAACTACATGTATATTGTGAAAAAATAAATTGGGTGACCTTGAAATAAGATGTGGTCCAGAATATGAAATTTTGACATGTACTGGGAATACCCTGACATTTATCTTGGTTAAGGTAGCAATTATGTAATCAGAAGCCTAAATCTAATCAATCCCTACAATGGATGAAAATGTCACTGATGTCAGTTTTTCAAGTGCTTCACACAGAATTGAACCAATAACTACAAATTTCTAGCCCAGTGCTCAGCCTATTAGGAATAAATGGAAATTCCCTCTCAATAACAAACTAGCCATTTCACTACTTCACAGCTGTGACGGTGTATATGATACTTTACTGCTATAATACAATTTGATTTCTCTTTGGACTGGGTTCAGGCTCTGTTCTAGTGACAGGCGTTTCAACATCCAAATTAGTTTTTTCTTGACAACTAAATTTTAGCTGAAGTATATTTTCTATTGAAAATCTGCTGATGCTGAGGATTCTTTGAATATCAGCCTGACTACACTGAGGGGGTATTTCGTTTTCAGGTTGTTGTGCTTGCATAGAAGCGGAAATGCTATCTTACTCCTGATAGCTGGTATAGACTACCAAAGTTTTATCCATCAATGTTTTGCTTCATGTTGCTCAGATACTGTTACGCTAGAAACATTTTTTTAACAGCCTTGCGGGACCACAAAAACATCACCGCACCACAACCCCATCCTCACAATGACCTTGATGATATCGAGTCTGAAATCGCCAGTCGAAGTCTGCCAACGATTGCCAAAGTCGAGTCCCCCGACGCTAAACCTGGTAAGAAAGATTTCATAGTACTTGTAAAAGTTTGATTCTACACTGCATGGCTTTTTGACCTCCGTGTGATTTAACCCTTTTTTATCTAATCATTAACATAACGACAATAGACTTACATGATTTGTTTGAGAGAAAAAAGGTGTTTAGTTGAACAACAGAATAGTTGCCAGTGGGGTACTGTGTACTGGAAATGTTCGCCCTACGCCTGGTAAAATCTGTAAAACTATTTGTCCAGTGTTAATTTCGCTGTTTAGTTTTGATCACTATATGGTTATTATGTTAGTTGCTAATGGTCACTCTGACTATAAATTCGGCCACTTTACACAGGGTGAAAAAGGTGAAAATTAAACTTTTAGTGAAATTTTCCAAGTTTTCATTAGATGTTTGATCAGCTGTATATACAGTAAGGATACAAATTTCATTAGCTTCATTGCACTTTTCATCAAAGATTGAAATAAATTTACAAATTCTGGACATAACCTAAGGAGTCATGCAACAGACATATGCAAAGTTTTAATAATTCAAAAGAAATGTTCATTGTTGTATTTTTTTAATTTTTTTTTTTTAAAGTGTTTAAAAACAAGTAAAAATTACCTTAAGTATCCCTGTACCAGGGTCAAATACCAATAGCTCTTCTTACGAAACTTTTTGTCTGGCATGACTGGTCAATGATAACACCATGGCACGATCGTGCTTCGGTTCATATCTAAACAAAATGAAGGGGAGGTAACCATATGTACGAAAATCTACGGTCGACTTCTCTAATGATTTACCTGCAGTAGAACAGAAATCTTTCAGAAATACAAATTTTCGACATGTCGTAACTGGTGGAGTTATGCAGTGGGATTGTTAATTGTACAAAATAATATTTAATTAATTAACATTTGGTTAGGTCCACCTTTACCTCCAACTTATATATCCTCCATATTTCAGGAATCCCATGTCCACAAAAACTGACCCTTGACCGACAGCTGACCAGTAGTATATTAATCAGCTGGCGGCCACCCCCAGAGGACGTTCTGGTCAAATCATATCATGTTTACGTTGACGGAGATTTCAAGGCCATTGTCAAGAGTAATGAGCGGACGAAAGCGTTAGTGGAGAATGTTGATTCTCGAACTGTCCATCGTGTCAGTGTCCGGTGTCTGACCAGTAGTGGTCAATCCACTGACCAGCAGTGTACATTACTTGTAGGCAAAGGTACTTATAAATGCTTTAGTTACATTGGAATTCAGTCTGACCATTTTATAATTCTGTATACATATATCCACTTTATTTTTACAAATTCTACATGGATGGGGGATGGGGCGGGGGTCCCTTAATATCAAACAACGGCACATGGATTTTGAACTCAGTGGGTTATAAATACAGTACATTCTGTCTAGACCTAATATTATATGTCCAAGAATTTGCTAGAATTTTGTTTCAGCATTGACAATAATAATATGTAACTGCAATTAGTCTTACGAATTCGCAACTGTCTGCCAAACAGCCAAACTATCAGGTTTCAGATAAGGGGTATCAGTTTAGACAGGTGTCCAGTTTAAACAGGTGTCCAGTTTAGACAGAGTACATTGTAATGTCATCTGTATGCTAATTTCAATTTCACAATTATTACTAAATCGGAGCTTGTGAGAAAATTAGATATAGGGCTATACACAGTATATATGTTAATCGCTATATATTAAAGCCGCACAGTATATATATATATATATGTTATAATACATCTATTTCATATCACCTTGTACATCCATCCTTATCATGTATGCTTATACACATAGATATACATGTTTATATATGTAGCATAAGCTTAGTCATCAGATATACAATAATCAGCTTGTAATTTCGTACCGTGTTGTTATCAGGTCTTTTCGGGGTAAATTTGATATTTTATTTTGAGTTATAGGGTTTGGAGATTATTTGGTATTTAGTGTCGCGGGATGACAAAATAATCCGTCGCATTCACTTGAAAAAAAATGAAAATTATTAGGATCTTCATTTTATCTGATAACACACTAAATTCTACTGTTTAGTATGTAATAGACTAGATTCTACCGATCGATTAATAGTTCATCTTAGTCCACATATAATTCAGTTTCAACAAAATTGTAATCTCAAATCAACTTAACAATTAAAATGAATACGTAGAATTATTTTTTCCATTGACTGTTTCTGTTCACCTGTGTTCATTCCTATTAATAAATCTTGTTTATGAATTAAAGTGTAAAACCAATATTTTTTTCTGTGCTGCTAAATATAGATTATTAACATGTCTCGTCACTAGAGGGCACTCACTAACCCGTTTTTCTGTCTAACAGATGCAGTGCCCTTACCTAGTCAGCTGACTGTTAGTGACATCACACCTAATTCAGCTACAATATCATGGTTGCCAGGCAACAGTAACTATCAGCATACCCTTTCCATAAATGGTCGTGAGGCACGCGTGGTTAAACCCAGTGTCTTTAGTTACACCATCACAGGTAGTGTGTTTTACCCTCACTGTAATACTTGGGTTTGATTGGTTGATTTGTTATAGTGTCTCTGATTGGTTGAATCGTTAGTGTCTGTGATTGGTTAATTTGTGCACTAATATTTGACCTGAAAGGTCAACAAGTACCATAGGAATGTCTATATTAAGATCATCGAAAACACAGATTTTAAACGTTAACAGGTGGTTAATAAGTACATAATATATAGATATACTGTATACTTACAGATAGGTTTTTCTGATACAGGACCTAAAGATCATCTTTGTCAGACTCTTAATACGAAGGTTCCAATTATCACCTCTCAAGTTCATTAACTTATATTAAATTTCATTTTTTTAAAAAATGTTCATATTATAAAATCTACTTTCATATCAAGTGCTTTCCTTTTCATTTGTATTCGCTGCGTTATCATCAACATGTAGTCTACTCAATATTACAGTTCTATATGTATATCCAGTGCTAGTTCTGAAACTATCTGACTATACACTTACATATGATTTAACAGCCTCTGTATCACAAAAGTTATTAACATTCAGAATGCTCTCAATTCTCAAAATCAAATCTATACTAAGGATGAAATTATTTCAAGGAACAAATCATTTTTATTAAACATTGAAATATCTATGTATTCAGGAAAGGTGAGTGGGTTGTTGTTGAATAACAAAATGTGTCCAATTGAACATGAACTATTTGACCTTTAAGAATGTTGAAATTCAGAATGATTGTAGTGTTAAGAACTTTTGTGATACAGACTTAATTTTCTGGACATTCTGCATATCAGTGGTATGTGCCAAAAAGGCACACTGAATAGAAGTTGAATTTTATTATTATTTTTGTGGCTGGCATAAGATATGTTCATGACAGTAACTGGTCCATGATGTTTGAAAACATATTGTGTCTGTGTCGATGTTTCAGGTCTTGTTTCTGACACGGATCACAATGTTGTGGTGTCCGCCCAAAGTCTGACTGGAGAAAACAAGGGAGATAACCTGTCTGCCAGCATAGGATTCAGGACACCGGCTGGAGGTTAGATTTCATCTTATTTCCAAACTATAAATGCTAATTTGGATCTTTTAAAGAATTTTTTGAACAGGGTAGGGGTTTATGCTATTTATTCATGTTATTTATTAACTGTCTTAACAGGTCTTCCGGAACCTCCAATCAATATCCAGGTTGAGGCTGGACCGCAGGAAGGAACTCTTCTATTGACCTGGTTACCAGTGACGATAGACACATCAGGGTTCTCTAACGGTGCCATGGTAACGGGATATGTTGTGTATGCAGACGGACGTCGGACAAAGGAGGCCTTAGGTCCTACTAGTAAGTCGCAGTAGAATGTATACAGTCAAACCCACTCATGTGACCACCTCCATTAAGAGACCACCTGTGTTAAGAGGCCACTTTTAGTGTTTCTCATTGTGAGCTGAAACCTGTATTAGACACAATATGTGTTACAAGACCACTTTTTTGATTTCCTATGAATGGTCTCTTCCAAGTTAGGCTGTAGTTATACTTTTCTTAGATATGACTTGCAGGTTCTTCTTATTTATAATACAAAGTGATTTTCAAGATTTTATTATTGCATATATGTTGATCATAATTTTAAAAAAAATCAGATTTGTAAAATTAGAGAAAGAAAAATAAAAAGTAATGAAAAAAATATCAAGAAACATATTAAGGCATATGAACCCATTCACCCCTAAAGTCACATTTGAACCTTACCAAATCAAAGACTGTCACATTAGTTTGTTACATATCATGACACAATCCCATTAGAATGATGTTGATGCTAGCTGTGGTGTTAACTTGTAACCTGGCTTCTTTTTCAGATGACCACATTATTCTTAGTGCTAACGATTTCCTAGGGTTTATCCCTAAACAGCTGTTGGTTCGGACGGTCACCAGAGATGGTCAAGAGTCTGCCGAGTCCCAGCTGGTCAGACTGCCTCAGACCCTTATAAGGGAAATCACTGCTGGCGCTGCCAAGTCCATAGCCACAGAGGCTTTGGTTAAAGTCTCCGACAGCCAACAGGTACGTTGCATCATCCATCTTGTGAAAAAAAGGAAAGGGAATGTCATTTCTCAACTAAAAATAAAAAAAATCAACAATACTGAACTTGGTATGTAGGTGTATATATGTATAGTGAGCACTGCGGGGTAGTTTTGAAGACTTTTGTTATGGCCCCCCCCCCCATTACAAACAACACTAATGTTTGCTATCTATTCCAGAGGTCACATGTTGAGAGAACGTTGGAGACGGACCCCGGGTTGATGTTCCGCGAGCTCCCACAGGAACAGGAAGCTGCTGTGGTAATGCCCGCGACTTCTTGGACTCTTACCACATTTCAGTTTTTTGCACTCGCTTTCCGTAGCTCCTATGGGTAGTCAATATGAAACAGCTTGTGGCGTCACGACTTCAGCATCTAATTCCTTACACTCCATGGATGCTCTGTGTGCTGTTTCATTATTTTGAATAATTACATTGAATTGTTTTAAATATCCTATCAACCCTATAGGTATTGATATTTATGAAAAGAAATTGAAAATTTACAAAAAATGAATCATATTTCATCTTTATTTTATTTTGTGCTTGCATGTATATTTTTAAATTGCTTTCGATGGCTGTACAATTGAAAATTGCCTGGTGTTTAATTTAAGCGTAGATTTTTATTTATTTTTTTTTATTTTTTTATGAGATGTTGAAGTTCATGGAGATGAAACAAGTTGTTTACTATTGTGGCAGTTACAATTACGTATACATACGTATACATATATACAACAGTATTCTATAACAAACACATCAGCTTTGGCTAAACATTGTGTATAATATATATCATAGACGGATACAGTTATCTGGAAATAGAACAAAGCATATCTGTATTATGTCAAAGCTCTAGTGTTTTCTTTTCTATTTCTTTTTAACATTTTTAACTCATTATTCAGACTAGCATTTAAATGATAGATATACTTGTAATAAGTTACTTAGTATATATTCTAGACCCCACCATCATTAGTAAAAATGATAGCTATATTTTGGGTGCCACATGTGGGGGTAGTGATTAAGGAGCCACATGTGGTACCTGGTTGGATACAGCAGTGAAGGAGGTGGTACTGTATAGTTTACAATGTTCAACTCAGGAGAGCTATTGCTTTCTTGAATATAGCTATAAACCTGCAGTCACCTTGATAATGTCATGTATTTTCATGGAGACCTCAACAGTTTATAGTCTGGGCAACGATGTACTTCCCTGCTTGCTATCTTTTGTTTAATTTTGTAATTGTATTGAGAATTGTTTTTGATGTTTTGTATATTTTTTTCCTTCTAAATCCTTACTTTAATTTCACAAAGTGGGCTGACCCTGTTTTTAGTTTTATCTGATAAAAAAATTGATACCTGTTTTTTTCACACACATTACTTATGTAGGGATTATTGACTCCATCAGTCATTTATCCAATTTTAATTTTATTTCAAATTTCACTCATGTTCATATTTATTTGTACTAAACCAAGCTCATGTTATGTGTAAAAACATATACAGTATACTTTTTTTTGCATCAACTATTTTATGAAATTCATTTCCAGTTAATTTCAATTATCTTCATCTCGGCTTTTATGGAGTAGCCATATTGGATTTACAGAATATGAAAATGATACAAAACTTAATATACTATATTTTTCTTTATTGCTACATTAAAAAAAAAAAAATAAAAAAAATAAAAAAAAGTTTTGCAGGGAATTTTGCCATGATCACTTGCTATTTATTTTCAATGCTGTAAGTGATTTTCTTGGTCTCCTTTTTTTCATTGTTGTCAGGGTCAGTGCACTTTGTTGTGAAGTGGCTTATATATTATACATAACATTAACACAATCAATGGTGTCGAGATTTTGTCGTGTAAATGTTTTTTGTTTCTTCACCTAATGTTTCCTCTACAGACCTTGATGCTTAACACTGGTCAAGTGGGTTGTCATGACGATGTGTATAGTGAAACTAGCAGCAGTTCCGAACTCTCCGATATTCCGGAGGTGGAGGAGGAGGACACGGCCAGTCACGCGTCAGTTCACATTCATCGAAGTCCCTCATTGGATGATCGTTTAAGGTCACATGCAAAGGTCTGATTATCATTTGTTCTCCTCGGAAACCGAATATTTGGTGAAGGATCCTGGAATTTACCTCTATAACAATATGCCTATGATTTCCATCTTTTCCTATATATTCTATCTACACATCCCTGAGGTGTATACTAAACACTCTGTTCCATATGATATACCTGTCTATCCCACCTGTATCTATACCTTTGATCTATAACTGGTATTTATACACGTATTATAATATTCACTTTCTATGTCAGGTTTATGTTAAATTCTGATGTTTCTGCCTCCCTGTTAATCCTTCTGAGCCATTATATACATTTAGTTTGTCTTTTTCTGTTTATATATAACTACAGTGGTTATTATATCTTTGTTATACACCATGAGATTAATATTTCGACTAAACAGTACTTACACCCAGTGATAAATCACTCTCTGTAACCAATTACACAGGTTTATTGGAACTAAATCAAAAACAATGATTATAAGATGATCAGAAGAATATTCAAATTTGAATATGAAGTCAATTTACATTTTATAACTTTTTAGTTTTTGAAGTGCATTGAAAATCTATGTTTTCTTTTCATAAAGCATATTTTTGAAACAAGAATTTAGGGATCACTTTTATAATGTAACATTTCCTTCACCGACCCCACCTTCTTTCACAGGTTGCTTCATTACTTTACACCCCTTGCTATCTTTCTATATTTTCTATGTTTTAATGAAAGTATCAAACACTACACTTTGTCCATTTTCTTTCCATATTGTCTGTGTGAAATTTAGTTCCGCTCAACTTCTTGCTATATACTCTGTATAAGTCAACTGTGTACTCCATTTCTTAATATTTCTATATCACCTATGTGTGAAATAGTTCACTCTTCTTGTTTCTCAAACTTAACTCACTCACCCCTGAAATTTAAGAATGATCGAACTATTCCAGCCTTTGAATTGGAAGAGTTCAAATGTGTCTTCAGGGGTGAATGAGTTAAAACTCTGTAACTACCGTGTAGTACCTTTCCCTATTCTCCATTAGTGAATGATAACACCTCGCTCTAATCCTTTCATCATCATAATTACTCCACAACTTTCGAAACGATGAGTAGAGTAGATTCACACTTCTTCCTTTTATTCTTTCACTCACATTTATAGTCTTGCTCATGACTAACGCTACATTTGTTCACATTTCAGAAGAAAATCTAACCAATGTTTTTCCCTCTCACTTCTATAGTCCGTTGTGTAGACGGAACACGTGCCTGATTATCAAGGACTATATCTCGCTGCAGAGCTTTGATCTTTGACCTTTGACCTAGTGTATTCTTTGAACTTTACCTTCATTTCCATGATAACCAATTCCGTCACATGACTATGACACCACTGCACATCTATTTATAGTCGACCAATGAGATATTAGTTCACTTTGTACACTTGGAATGGCTGTTGTTTCTTCTTTTCTGTGGTTTTTCGCTGCACGTGTGTATAATTATAGTGGAAATGCTTTGATTTTGTGAAAAGCTGTGTTCATGCACATGATAGTACTTTTATATTGTTGTATGTTTTTGTATATACCTTCACTTAAATCAGCCATGACGTTCAATCAGAACCCTAACTGTACTGGCAGTTTTGAGTGAACAGTCAAGTGTGACAGTGCAATCATGTTCAATCTGGTGCCTTCGTTTTTTCATTCTGAAAGAAAATCTTTAAAAAATCTTTAAAAATCATTCATTATGTCTTCATGTTACCTTCTGCAAGTAAATCCTTACAAAATATATATTACAATGTTTATTAAATCTTTTCCGTGGCTCAGGATAAAGCACCGACTTACTAAGAATAACATATAGTTCCACTGTCATTGTTTGTATTAAATGTTTGAAATGTTTTAGTAAAAGAAGTATAAAATAAACATGGTGTAAAGTAATCTGTTTATGGTGTGTTTAGTGACCTATACAAACTAGTAATACATTTAACGGAATTATTTTTGGTTATGATTGATAATTAACTAATCAAGGTGTACTCAGGTGTCTTCATTAATAATCTTCAACAATTTTAAGAAGAAATACTCTCTCATACATAGCAGTGAATAACCAAGAATTTATGTTATTCCATAGCTATTAAACTAAATATCAAAATGCATGGTTTGAAGATCATAGGGGTCTCGTAAGGCTTATTAATTAGATATGTGTAGATTTCAAATTGCAATTTGCTTGATTCCGTGCAGATGTAAAAGGTTTGGTTTCTTTAATGATCATGTACAATGTACTATGAGCAGGAAATATAAATTAATTCTTGGATTTTCACAAACCCTGTATATTAATAAAAAAAAAATATATCTTGATAATATATTGAATGTATTGTTTATAATTAAAAACCCTAATCTTATGCTTCATTAACAATTCAATCAGCAGGTGACTGAAAATACAGAAGTATTACCGACTTCATCTAGTGGATACAAATCTCCGACAAGTAAACAAGGGGAGACAACTGTACCTATTGTGATACATACCCCTCAGAGAGTTGTTCCTGCCATAGGTAATGTATCCCAAATTCACAAATCAGTTTTAAAACTAGGTTGACCTTGATATATTTTTTAATTCCTTTTGAAATTTTATTTTTAACTTTAAACTTAAAAGATATAAGACAAAATAAGAAGAAATTTGTTCCAGTAGCATTTTAAATGTTTTTGGTTTTTTTCTTTTTTTCTTGAATTATGTTATAAATGATGTTTTCTCAAAGTTAAGCATGTCTGCCAGTTATTAAAAAGAACCATCCAAGATTTTTGTTTGATTTTTAGCTCACCTGCCCGAAGGGCAAGTGAGCTTATGTTATGGTGCGGCTTCCGTCGTCCGTCCGTCCGTCCGTCCGTCCGGCATCCGGCGTTGTCCGGCGTCAACTTTTTGCTTTAAACAACTTCTTCTCAATAACCAAAAGGCCTAGGAAGATGATATTTGGCCAGTAGCATCCTGGGATCAAGGGCTACCAAGTTTGTTCAAATAAATGACCTTGACCCACTTTCAAGGTCACAGGGGTCAAATATGTTAAAATCTTCAAACAACTTCTCCTCAATAACCAAAAGGCCCAGGGTACTGATATTGGGCCTGTAGCATGCTGGGATGAAGGGCTACCAAGTTTGTTCATATAAATGACCTTGACCCACTTTCAAGGTCACTGGTGTCAGATGTCTTAAATCTTCAAACGACTTCTTCTCAATAACCGAAAGGCCCAGGGTACTGATATTGGACCTGTAGCATGCTGGGATAAAGAGCTATCAAGTTTATTCAAATGAATGACCTTGACCAATTTTAAAATTTCAAAGGGGTCAAATGTCATAAAATCTTCAAACGACTTTTTCTCAATAACCAAAAGGCCCAGGGTACTGATATTGGGCCTGTAGCATGCTGGGATGAAGGGCTACCAAGTTTGTTTAAATGAATGACATTGACCCACTTTCAAGGTCACTGGGGTCAGATGTCTTAAAATCTTCAAACAACTTCTTCTCAATAACCAAAAGGCCCAGGGTACTGATATCGGGCCTGTAGCATGCTGGGATGAAGGGCTACCAAGTTTGTTCAAATGAATGACCTTGACCAACTTTCAAGGTCACATGGGTCAAATGTCGTAAAATCTTCATACAACTTCTTCTCAATAACCAAAAGGCCCAGGGTACTGATATTGGGCCTGTAGCATGCTGGGATGAAGGACTATCAAGTTTGTTCATCTGAATGACCTTGACCAACTTTCAAGGTCACAGGGGTCAAACGTCGTAAAATCTTCAAGAGACTTCTTTGTTCAACAATCAAGGTCAGAGGCGTCATATGTTTAAATCTTTTAATAGGTTCTTATGAAATCTTAAGATTACAAGTGTTAGATTGATAACAGGGGAGCGATGCAGGCCCATTGGGCCTCTTGTTTAATCCCCCATCTAATATGTTTAAGGAACATGGCAGTAGCTGGGTTTTTTTCAGGTTTTTCAGGTTTTTTCCAGGTTTATTTTGGTAAATCATGACCTAATAAAATGATGGTGTTTTTTCTGAACATAGAGCATTCGGGGATATATTTTTTTAAATAGAATTACCAGGGGCTTTAAAAGTGGGAAGCGAAAAGTCCTTGAAAATAGGGACATTTTGACCTGAATTCCTTGCTTCTTATCTTGTCCATCTCAAATATACTCAAAAATTTTGAAAGGGTGTAATAGAAACAGAATTGTGCTTTTCTTCAAACCTTTTCCTGAATTTTTCATAAATAAACAAACTTGTATTACCTTTTTTCTTTGTTTTGCTTTTAGAAATCACACGAGACAGTAGTAGTGAAAGAGGAAATTCTGTATCGGAGGATGAAGCGACATCTCCGACAAAGTTCCAGAGAAATAGTGCTGTAAAAAGTGATTCACCAACGTCACGTTCTCTTCCCTCACGTAACTCTCCGTCTCATAACAACAAAGACAGACTTCCTGGATACACGGAAAATTCGGATGGAAGGGATGATGTTCGGGAAACAGGGAAAGTGAGACAGCAAGTGGATTTGTTTAACAAACTCCAAAATAATCAAACAGAGGAGAGTTCGAATGAACGTGTATCATTAACAGGTGTCAAAGTGGAAAATGATTTACGAGAAAATTCACTTAAGTTAAATCTTGATAATCGGACTAGTCCTCAAGACGTTTTAAATAGTCCTGTGACTCTTGTGAATGGCAAGTCTTTTGCTGATCAAGATTCAAATGCTAATGAGCTGTTATCAAATGACCTTTCACCTTCAGGGCGCCGGCATCCCGAAGTGCCGTGTCTGGATTTAAATGAAATGAGTGTGGACGAAAGTGCGGAGGTGGATTCTATCAGTGGCGAGATAAATCCACCCGTGGAAGACACACGCATCCGATTATTTGTGGCTCTCTTTGATTATGATCCAATTAGCATGTCGCCGAACGTGGATTGTATCGACGAAGAGTTACCATTTAAAGAAGGACAGATCATCAAGGTACTGTTAATCTATAATCAGCATGGATTGCTTCCCTTGGTATACGTTTTTTGAAGAAATTGCATGAGTTTTCTTGATTTAATAAAATTCAATAAATATATAGCTACATTTGCTTCTTTAAACAAATTGCATGTCAGAAGCTGTTATGTATATTTTTTTCAACTTTGATAATAAAAAAAATAATATTAGAATGAAAAATAAATTAAACTAATACCATATTATGAGCACATTTTATACTTTTTTATGTATTACTATATAGATAATGATGTCACTTTTGCCAGATTTTTTGTTTCCCATATGTAATGAATAATAAGTGAGAGACAATAAATGTACACAATCATTTGAATAGCTCCATGTCACTAAATCAGTTTTCTTCTATTTTTCAGCCAAAAATTGTAGTCTTTTCATTTTCATTATACTTCATTCATGAATTTGCATCTAACCTAGATAAATATACAAACTACCGTATTAGACAGCGTATCTAACCTAGTAACCCATTAACGCTACAGAACATATTACTGAGTCTTCTATATCCTGTATTATTGCTTCAGAGAAATATTGTTGCTAATATGTCATTTTTATCCTATCTTCATTTTATATGTACCTGGTATATAACAAGTTATAATTTAGTTTAAAAGGAAATTTAATTTGTATTAGTTACTTGTCATTTAGAAAAAAACATGTATTAGATAGGTGATTCACATTGTTCATCTTTTCAGCATAAAAATATTTTTTCCAATATTTATATATATTTAAAATATTCAATTCTACATGCTAAATATTTAAGTATAAATTAAACGGCATCTGTGATTGTTTGGTGAATTTAACTGTTTTAAAGTCATAGAGCTAGAAAGGTAGTTCAATAAATATTTGACTTATTCCCTTTTTGACCCAATTGTCCTTTAATGAGGAGGCGCAATGAACACTGTACTTACCCCCAACCCTATATTCCTCAGAAAGGATCAATGAATATTAGACTTATTCTCTTAGAACCACTAGTCCTTTAATGAGGAGGTGCAATGAACACTGTACTTGCCCCCAACCCTATATTCCTCAGAAAGGATCAATGAATATTAGACTTATTCTCTTAGAACCAATAGTCCTTTAATGAGGAGGTTCAATGAACACTGTACTTACCTCAACTATATATTCCTCAGAAAGGAAAACTGGACTTATTTCCATTTGACTATGTTTCTCAGAAAGGCAGTTTAATCGATATCAGACTTCTTCCATTTTGTCACTCTATTACTAAAGAAAGGTGGTAAAATGAATATTATACTTATTCCCATTTACCTTATTTCCCTGACAAAGGTCTTACAGTGAATACTGGACTTATTCCCATTCGATTATGGTATGTCCCTTACAAAGGTCTTTCAATGAACACTTGACTTATTCCCATTCGATTACGGTATGTCCCTTACAAAGGTCTTAAAGTGAATACTGGACTTATTCCCATTCGATTACGGTATATTCCTTACAAAGGTCTTACAGTGAATACTGGACTTATTCCCATTCGATTATGGTATGTGCCTTACAAAGGTCTTACATTGAACACTGGACTTATTCCCATTCGATTATGGTATGTCCCTTACAAAGGTCTTAAAGTGAATACTGGAATTATTCCCATTCGATTATGGGATGTCCCTTACAAAGGTCTTAAAGTGAATACTGGAATTATTCCCATTCGATTATGGGATGTCCCTTACAAAGGTCTTAAAGTGAATACTGGAATTATTCCCATTCGATTATGGGATGTCCCTTACAAAGGTCTTAAAGTGAATACTGGAATTATTCCCATTCGATTATGGTATGTCCCTTACAAAGGCCTTAAAGTGAATACTGGACTTATTCCCATTCGATTACGGTATATTCCTTACAAAGGTCTTACAGTGAATACTGGACTTATTCCCATTTGATTATGGTATATCCCTTACAAAGGTCTTACATTGAACACTGGTCTTACTCTGATTTGTTTCAATATTCTTTACAAGAGAAGTACAATGAATACCTACACATATCTAAATAGACAATTCAACATTTCATTGAAAATTGTTCAATTGGTCAAAATGAAGGTGACAAAAAACAAAAGCTACCATGCTTCGATTACCTGTTTTATGGTATTTAATCAAATTGCCGTTCCTGTAAGTTTACAGTATTTAACTGCAAAGGGTATGCTTTTGCCTAACTGTTGTATGTAACCTCTGACCTTTTCTTTGTCCAGATCTTCGGAGACAAGGACCAGGACGGATTTTATCGTGGGGAGTGTAACAATAGCGTGGGCTTCGTACCTTGTAACATGGTGTCCGAGATACAGGTGGATGACGCAGACCTGGCAGAACAACTCCTTAAGGAGAGCCAAGAAGCCTTCAGCATGAATTCTCATCTGTCAGGTATAAAACAGATTGCCTGAAATATTTACACTGGCTCCTTTAACAAGCAAACCTTACTTTCATATTCCACATGTTTCAATTCCATAACAGTGTTGTCATATCAGAATGTTTTTATTGTTTCAATCATAGATACAAGATAACTTCTTGGTCAACAGGCAAAGCCAAAGAAAACCCTCTCCTTTCAATATCAACAATGTACATACATATTTCAATAATGAAACATAACCATAGAATTTAAAGATCTATAATCTATTAACATTATTTTTGAAAACCTATTTTCCCAATCATTCATACAAAACGAGAGTTGCAGATAACATCAAAGGCATGCATGGACTGGTAGCCAGCAAGTACATATTGTACATACAATCACACTGTTCTTGGACCAATTGAGACAGCACACAAGCTCACCCAAATCTGCGACAATATTCATGCAATTCAAAAACAAATTTTTAATAGTGTTGTGTGACCTTTTTAGCAAATAGACCATCATGGCCAATATTTCACTTTATGAAAACCTGTGTTGTAGTGGGGTCCGACTCCCAGAACTTCAACAAGTCTGTAGAGAGTCTGGAGACGATAGAACAGAATGGTCTACCGGTGCCCTTGTCTCCCACCACAAGTAGACGCATGGTTGCTCTCTATGACTACGACCCGCAGGAACTCTCACCAAACGTCGACAGTGAGGTAAGCTTTGTCTGGCATTATAGCTGCCATTGTCTTGTCCTAATTGCATCAGATAAGGAAAACTTGAATATAAGACAGTTTTAACCAACCTCGAATACTACATGACTATTACGTTGGAGACCAGTGAGATCGTGTTCTGTTTTATGAGTTTATATACCATTAAAGACCATCTATAGGGAGCAGAATTGCTGATTAGAACAATCTGAATTATCATTTTATTGCTGAATTTGACCACTAGGTGGAGCTGCCATTTCGTATTGGAGACATTCTGTACATCTACGGGGATATGGATGACGATGGATTCTTCATGGGTGAACTGAACGGCCATCGTGGACTTGTACCATCCAACTTCCTCCAAGAGGCACCTCTCCAGGAGGAAGACCCGCATGAGGCAACAAGCATTGTCTCCCCTGCCAGGTCAGGCGAAAGTCTCAACCACATTACGGGGTCGCACCAGTCTGACCTCGGACTAGACAAAGTAGGTGACTGTGACCTAGGCTGCATGCATGTGACCGCCCCACCGAACCTGTGAAAGAAACTATGGTGTATCAATGGGTACTTTGGAAGTATTAGATTTGGTCATTGTGGATTTTTTGGCATCTTTATTAAGATCTTCCTCATATTAAATAAGTCCCATTTTCTTTCAATTTTCATTTTTTATTTTCAAATTTTTAAATCTTTGCTTATTGCTGACATGATGAATTTTTTTTGGTTCCCTTGGTTTTATTTTGTTGGTTTTTGAAACTTAAAAACTTGCCTTTCTTGCATGTGATGGGAGATGGATGATATTTTATAAAAACAAATTTAACATAATATATACCACATACTAAGCAATGTGTTTTGATGTCTTCCAACGATGGGAAGCTTAACAACCTAACAGCAGAGTTGAACAACACCAGCAGCAGTAAAACACTTAAATATTGTTAGTTGTTATCTCAAATTGTAATCTTAGATGTGAATCTTTTTAATTATACTCCCAAGTGCTATGTTATTTCGTTGTCACTGATCGGTTCTCTCTTTGAGGACATCACATGACTTGGATCTGCCTTAGATTTATATAGTGGATGTCCTTGATAAAACAGAAGGTGTTTACACTTCCGAAATACTGGTCTTATTCTCGTCGTACTTTTCCAAGGATATCCTTATGAATTTTTCCTTTGTTCATATTTTGCCCTAGTTTTATTGTTTTTGGGTTCGGGTTATGGTATTATTCTCTTTTTATCTTAAATATTTTTACCCTTATGGAAAATTTAAAAACTGAAATGCTTGAATCCAATGTTTGTTGAATTAAACCTAGCTCAACATTAATTGCTAATGATAAAGTTTTGTTACATAAGTATAGTGTCATACCTTGTTCTCCCATCCTTGCTTACAGCCGCGTGCAAACCAGTCCTTATATACATGGTAGTCCATTATCTTCAGGGTTCTGTATCCATTGCATGCCTCCTAGCGTCCTAAGTCATCTCGTCCACCACTAGCCGTGTCCATTGTTGTTATAGTACTGTTATCTGCAGACTCTATGCTCGCACCCTTCTTGAACGAACTTCTTATCTTCGTATCCCTCACTTATAGAACTGTATTATTTAATCTTGGTTGTAACAAGCATTTTCATTGGCTTAAAAATTGATGTTATCAGCCCATAACGTAAAAAAATGACGTCGCCGTTTGTAACGTCGCTTTTGATTGGATGATACAGCAGCGCTATAATTTCTAAAAGAAAAGAGTCCATCAATAAAAGTGGATTTCCACAGGTATTGTGTATAGTAGATTAAATTATAAGGATTAACTTATATATATAATTATATATAACACACAAAAACGGAGTGTACTCTCATCATAAACCGCTTCGCGGTTTATTTAGAGTACACTCCGTTTTTTGGTGTTATATCTCAATAACATGAAAAATATATTCAAGTTAATCCTTAAATATGTAGAAAGAAAATGTATTTTTTAGAGAATGATATTTGAAAAGAATACCACAAAGTAATCTGTATCTGTATATTATAGAACAGCGGATTTGAAAGAGCGAGGTAAAATAATTTGTAAATATATTAGTAGGATAACTTTTTGAGAAAATTCTGGATGTTTACAGAAATAGAACGAAATGAAATTTCGGAACAAAACATTTGCAAATTAGAGTTAAATTTGAATTGAAGTCATTCTGTTATCTAACATATTCCAGCAGTAGTAAATTATGCACTAACAAATCTGAATAAAAACTCTCGCTGCCGCTTAACAAGTACATACAAATAGTATGATAAGTGACACAAAACACACACTGAAATCACAACATTTTCCCGTACATAATCTAGCCGCTCACAGTGATATAGGTTTAAAAATAACTCGCAGACAAATGAGCTTAGAACATGGCGTCCATCGTCCGTCATCAACGTTTCTTCAACTCGTGCACCCCTGAAGACACATTTAAACTCTTCCAAATCAAAGGTTGGAATAGTTCATTACGAAATTTCAGGAATGAAAGAACACTACTGCGGAATGGCTGAAATAATTCAGCTAAATTTTATGATAGAATTATCACAGTATGGTTCACTAGATTCTAACCAATAGATGTAGCACTTCAACAGTTGATTTATGTATGTAGATAAGGTTTGACTGTAATCCTGCCACTAGCCAATAACAAATATGTATAGGTTACTGATCGTGAGAGTCGAGTGTATAACAAGTACCAAACAACAATGGATACAGTTACTGGTATATCTGTTAGAGGTTTTGTTGAATGTGTGCTAGAAACAGTGTAATGCCAAATCAAGGTGCTTCTTCACCAATATTGAATCAATGAAGTAATACTGCATTTTGCTTAATCTTCGTTTTACATTTTCTACACCTTGTTTCACTCACGAAAACAGTTCAAAGTAAACAAAAACAGTTGAAAAGAATGTAAATTCATGATGACTGTAATTTATCGTTTTGGCCAGAAGGAGGTTGAACAAACTGTACAAAATAACTTTCAGGCATACACAAGCCTTGTTTTCGTGACTCAGACAATATTTCATATTTTATTTTTGTATGCATTTTTTCAGGCGACCTAATTAATGATCATGCTCTTGGAAGTCATTTTGGGATGTTTTATTAGGTATTATGTTTTCTATTTGAAGTGCTAGCTTGAGTTGCATGCAAGAGTATTAAACTTTCATCCTTATGTCATATAACATTTGAGAAAAATAGGGTCGATTGTACTACAGAAAATATTTGAAAGTATGATAGCAGTTCAAGGAGTCTTCCTTTGTAGACAGAAATGGCTTATATTCATCTCTTTAAAGTAAGAAAAGTAATTACGATTAAGAAAGATTCGGACTGTCGGAAATCGTATCAAATATATCGCATTCTAGTTCCTCATTAAGAGGTAGGCTACTTATAAAGATTTCATTATATCAACGAAATGTCAAATTTTTTATCAATATTCTATTTTCGGTAAAGATTAGCTGACAGATATTGGTGCAATTTTGGTTAGCTCATCTGTAACTAATAAAGAAACACTGGCCACTTTTTTCTAATAGCTCGAAACTTTGCAGCTTGTACATTTAAGTTAAATGGAAAGCTCAGAAATTGATATATACAAATTTGACTTGTGAGGGAAGCGTAGACTCATATATGGCTGGTCAATTTTACGTGCTTAGACTCATAATGCATCGTTAATTTTCAAATTTGACGCGTTTAGGAAACTCAAAAACTTGTATGTACACATTGTCAGTTTTATGTGCTGAGTAAAATAACAAGGAAGCAGCTTACAACACTTCATAACCGTTTGTTAACCTCACACATAAATTCCCATGATATTTTTATATTTCGCAAAGACCCTGTTTTTTCATATTTGTATGACATAAGGATTAATTGTGTATTCCGTCTTTGCGTATTGCAGAGTTATCTTCTCTTGTGAGCAGGTATTGATTGTTACGTCATTGGTTTGTGTGAGAAAATTACATCGTTTTCTCAAAAATTGATGACGTTACTCTCACAAACCAATGACGGAACAATCAATACCTGCTCACAAGAGCAGATAACTCTGCAATATGAAAAGACGGAATTAAACAGCACACACATACCTTATACAGGTTTTAGCCTATAATCAAGATTTCACAACTGCAATGAATAAAGTAAGTGGCTGAATAATTAATTACAAAGTGTTCGGAAAATTGTGTTCATGTTTTTGTTGCCATGATGATAAGTTAACCGTGTTCGTGTCAATTCACCTGAAGTTGGATTTATTTAAACTCACGTTTTTTAACAATGACTAATGAAGTTGCGCAATGCGTTCTATTGTTTAGCTAACAATGATGTTCATCAAAATAAGAAACTCAATTAAACAAAATTTAACAGTCAACCGTTAAAGCAAATGTTAAAAAGGAAAAATAACCTTTAATAAAGAAATACTAAAATATGCTTTGTTAATATGAATATGGTAATAAATGTGTATATTGCGACATAAAATCGTCATAAATATAAATATTGCAGTTTCTCTGAACCACAGAACAAAAGTTTAATATCTCACATTTCACTGCATATATATTATTGTATTTTAAAATATCATTATATCGTATAATTGCGTTTAAACGTGTGATTAATTGTACACATAACAAAAGTTTAAGTGTGACCTATAAAAGTGTTAATATTACTATTTACTAGTAACCTCAATCATATATGAATTACAATTATTATTTGTATGGCTCGGACATAAACAAAGTATTTTATTAATATAATTTGCATCGATGTTTTAAGTGTTTCAAATTGTGGGCATGGTACACAATACGATTTGCACAGATACACACTTTTTAGGGCATGGCGTAATTTATTCAAAATGTACAACCTGCATTAGCAAGCATACAACTGAGCACATACTTTGATATATGTAAATTTATTATATATCTGACATATATCTTGACCGCATGACGACTTATTTACAATACTGTTCATACAGAAGTTATATGTTTGATTTGAGCATGAGATACTATAAAATATCTGCACCAGAAAACATACATGTACACATGAGCACAGTAATAAATTATTTTAACCCACAATGTATCACGGGCCTGACGAACACGACAAATATGACAAGTAACAGTGGACAAATAGGGTAATTGTGTCACATATGTGTCCAAAGGTTTGTATTTAATGCACAATATCTCACTGATGTGACGTAGTGGGTAGTTATAGTTGGTAAGTATAACGATCGTATATAGTTTTCTTTATATACATTGACATTCCACAACATGATAATAAAATTTATGAAAATTTGAAATTGAACACTTCTTTTATAGATTCGTAAAACAGTATAGAATAGGAAAAGAATGTATATAAAAAAAAAAAAAATCTCAAAATAACTGTTCATTTGCAAGAATACAGCAGATAAAGATGCACAATGTAGTACTTAACTATATAAATCTATAGAGAGTAATGTTTTATATAAATCTATAGAGAGTAATGTTTTATATAAATATATAGAGAGTGATTTTTATATAAATATATAGAGAGTTATGTTTTATATAAATCTATAGAAAGCAATGTTTTATATAAATCTATAGAAAGTTATGTTTTATATAAATCTATAGAGAGTAATGTTTTATATAAATCTATAGAGAGCAATGTTTTAAATAAATCTATAGAGAGCAATGTTTTAAATAAATCTATAGAGAGTAATGTTTTATATAAATCTATAGAGAGTAATGTTTTATATAAATCTATAGAGAGTAATGTTTTATATAAATATATAGAGAGTAATGTTTTATATAAATATATAGAGAGTGATTTTTATATAAATATATAGAGAGTTATGTTTTATATAAATCTATAGAAAGCAATGTTTTATATAAATCTATAGAAAGTTATGTTTTATATAAATCTATAGAGAGTAATGTTTTATATAAATCTATAGAGAGTAATGTTTTATATAAATCTATAGAGAGTAATGTTTTATATAAATCTATAGAGAGTAATGTTTTATATAAATCTATAGAGAGTAATGTTTTATATAAATCTATAGAGAGTAATGTTTTATATAAATCTATAGAGAGTAATGTTTTATATAAATCTATAGAGAGTAATGTTTTATATAAATCTATAGAGAGTAATGTTTTATATAAATCTATAGAGAGTAATGTTTTATATAAATCTATAGAGAGTAATGTTTTATATAAATCTATAGAGAGTAATGTTTTATATAAATCTATAGAGAGTAATGTTTTATATAAATCTATAGAGAGTAATGTTTTATATAAATCTATAGAGAGTAATGTTTTATATAAATCTATAGAGAGTAATGTTTTATATAAATCTATAGAGAGTGATGTTTTAAATAAATCTATAGAGAGCAATGTTTTATATAAATCTATAGAGAGTAATGTTTTATATAAATCTATAGAGAGTAATGTTTTATATAAATCTATAGAGAGTAATGTTTTATATAAATCTATAGAGAGTAATGTTTTATATAAATCTATAGAGAGTAATGTTTTATATAAATCTATAGAGAGTAATGTTTTATATAAATCTATAGAGAGTAATGTTTTATATAAATCTATAGAGAGTAACGTTTTATATAAATCTATAGAGAGTAATGTTTTAAATAAATCTATAGAGAGCAATGTTTTAAATAAGTAAAGAGTTATGTTTTAAATAAGTCTATAGAGAGTAATGTTTTTAATAAGTCTATAGAGAGTAATGTTTTTTAATAAGTCTATAGAGAGTAATGTTTTTAATAAGTCTATAGAGAGTATTTTTTTAAATATGTCTATAGAGAGTAATGTTTTAAATAAGTCTATAGAGAGCAATGTTTTAAATAAATCTATAGAGAGGAATATTTTAAATAAATCTTTAGAGAGTAATGTTTTAAATAAATCTATAGAGAGCAATATTTTAAATAAATTTATAGAGAGTAATGTTTTAAATATTTTTTTTGAGAGTAATGTTTTAAATAAATCTATAGAGAGTAATGTTTTAAAGAAATCTATAGAGAGCAATGTTTTAAAGAAATCTATCGAGAGTAATGTTTTAAAGAAATCTTTAAAACAATAAATCTATAGAGATAAATGTTTTAAATAAATCTATAGGGAGCAATGTTTTAAATAAATCTATAGAGAGTAATTTTTTAAAGAAATCTATAGAGATTAATGTTTTAAAGAAATCTATAGAGATTAATGTTTTAAATAAATCTATAGAGAGTAATGTTTTAAATAAATCTATAGAGAGCAATGTTTTCAACAAATCTATAGAGAGTATATTACTCTTTATAGATTTAATGTTTTAAAGATTTATTTAAAACATTAAATCTATAGAGAGTAGAGAGTAATGTTTTAAATAAATCTATAGAGAGTAATGTTTAATTTAAATCTATAGAGAGCAATGTTTTAAATAAATCTATAGAGAGCAATGTTTTAAATAAATCTAAATGTTTTAAATAAATCTATAGAGAGCAATGTTTAAATAAATCTATAGAGAGTAATGTTTAATTTTAAATAAGTATTATAAAACTAGTTCTAAAAATTAAACCACTATTTAAGTATGACATGACGAATATTTCCGTGAAATATCGATAACTCACAGAATTTCAATTTGTATTGAGTCGTGTAATGATCATTTCCTCTTCCTTCACCAGCTTGAAGAATATTCTCGTGTTGTGATGTGTTTTCTCCTTTTCCTAACTATCCACTATTCTTGTTTTTCCTTATTTTGAAACATCAACAATGTTTTAAACAAATATTTGATGTAATCAATAAATCATAATGACATGTCTATATAGATTTTGAAAAATATTCAGTTTAATGCTATTATCAACAATTTAATAAAACCAAAATGAGTATTTTATCATTAAAAGAAACGTAATTGTTGCCGAGATAAGGATGTAATATGTTAAACTTCTTCCCTTAAAAAGATACGATTTGTTAATTTTTGGAGCCGTTACAAGGATTCAGTATGTTAATTGTTGGTGGTGCCATAGGACAAGGATGTGAAGTGCAAAGTAAATGTTTGTGTGATATGTTAATGAATACTAATTTATGGTGACCTATGATATTCATATAAAATACATTGGCAGTGGATGCATGTTACCATGATCGCACATATAGCCACGTTTATCTGGTGACGGATGCTAATGTGAATATGCGCAATTTAGCATTATCTGTATTTAGGCTTGATCCTAGGAAAGGAAGACGCTTCCATTAAAAAAAATGATATTATCATTTAAATGGTATGGTCTTTATGCAATGCAGTTTTATTATTGAATTTTTGTATTCAAAGAATGTTTATGTTAGATAAGGACTCGCTTGAAAACAAACCTTAAAAGAAAATAACTCTTCTTTTTTTTAAATTCTGTACTCTCTATCATTATCGTTGATCAAATATATATGATTTGATGGAATTTGACTATACAGATTTAAATAAAGTAACTGACTGTCATTACACGAAATCATTTTAACGGTATAAAATTCTTCCTCAGGTTATGTTATCATTAATTGTAATAAATAGACTTCATTACTTTATTGTTAACAAAGAATTTATTTGATTGGTTTTATTTATCAGACGTCAAACGTGGGACCGAGCCCGACAGTGGAACCCGTACAACCTGATTGGGTAGAGAGTACCACACGTAATCACACACCCACCCGTTCTCGGTCAGTTACACCAGATGAAATTCGCCAAAAGAAGAAGAGCACGGGAGGAATTCTTTCAAAAGGCAAAAACATTTTCAAAAAACTAACACGATAGACGAGTCAACAAAAAGAAGACAAACAGATTATCGTAAATCATTGCCACAAGAAGCCAACTACGTACTGGACGGATATTCTGCGAGTGCAAATGATAAACGTTTTCAAAATGAAATGTATACCTAGTAGATATGTTTGTGTAGTTGTATAGGCTTACTCGTGGTCTTGAGTCCTATAGAGAAAATGATATTAGAATGAGAAACAGAAGGTCGTCTGCTTACTGCTTTGTATTGGATCAGCAGTGTCGTATGGAATATTAGAAGACACTGAATGAAATTCAGGTTTTCTGTAATGACATGCCAAAGACATGACGATAAAAGGCAATAAAATTGCGTACTTGTGTGAGGAAAGTGTATTTGAAAAACATCTAAACATCCGGGTAACATTTTCTACCATGACCTTTGCAAGGACGTGTATTACGTTTAATATTTTGACTGGAAAAAACGCTATGTCACGTCTGACCAGGAAGTCATCAAATTGGAACAGAAGTTGTGGCATGAAAAAGAAACTTGGATGTTTATTCAAACTTTGACTTTTAGTTAGAAATACGCTGCTGCCTCACCTGTTATTATTGAAACACACACTGACATGCCAGATCTCCCGGTATGGCTGTGCAGTTAGATATATACTATCACGTGAATTGCGTTGTCTTTGACCTCTGACCTTCTGTCTTGTCATTTTGTCCACTGAACGTCTGTGATAGAAACATCTCCGTGTCTTTATATCATTTTTGTTTTTATTTTATTTCCTTACAGAATTTTCGAGAAGTTATAATATTTCAATTCAGGTTTCATTTACGTACGCACATATAAACCTCACGGAAAAAAATATTATATATGTGAAATCTCGCGAACAAAGAATAAGAGCATTTGAAAAGCCAACTTCACGTATTTAACGCCTAGAATCTCTTTAATCAAATATCTCTAAATGAAGTGTTTGGAATAAAATCAATTGTTTAATTAAGTAAACTACTAATTGGTATTTAAATGTGTGTTTATCAGGTATTTTAGTGAGGGAAAGATAAATTAAACTGACATGCGACGTAGTTGTGAAGAGAATAGTTTTACTCATTCACCCCTGGAATTTCATAATAAACTATTCCATCCTTTGAATTGAAAGGGTTCAAATGTGGTCTTCAGGGGTGAATGAGTTAAGTGAGTTCTCTAATCGACCTTAGTCTGTAATATGTGTATGTTAGACTATTTCATTACAGCCTGTTGCACAATGGAAATATGATAACAGTAATGATGAAATATATATATATAAACGATGTAATATATGGTTGTATTCAAAAAGAGCATTTTTTGTGTTTTTGTGCTAAAATTGCGTTTCTGTTAGATGTAAATTAAAAGCAATATAATTCCATGTTAGAATGAGATCAAAACTACATTCCATTAGTATTGTTGTTGTTTTTATATATTTAATTGCACCAGATATCTTTCAGCATTATTAGCATCATAGATTATATTGCAATGGTAACGCATTATGTTGCCATGTTGTCGTGTTTCCAATGGTTACAAGACCTTGTCAAGCATTTGCTATCGCACACAATTTCTGTATGGTAATTAAATGTAATAATAGAATGTGTTATGAACATTGTCCTTCCTACGACAAACATTGTGACATGCTTCCGTTTGTGTTGGAAACGTTGGGGAAATATGACAAATACATACATACCATTGTCATGTTCCTATTTTGTGACTTTTTGTCAGTTAAGGTTAGTGCCATGGTTACCCAATGTATTACCCGTACTGTTGTAGTTCTTCAATGGTGTGAAGTGGTGTTTCGGATGGTAGATATTATTTCACTTTTGATATTCTGTATAGATAAATATGTTGTTCATATTATTATTATTTATTCATTTCTGTCAAGTGACGTAACATCTTGCCACAACCGTTATCACATACATCGTACATGTTGACCTTGACAATTATTCCTTACCTGAAAGTTGATGATTCTATAGCTTGTGACCACAACATACAGTTGAACGTTTAACTGACGCTAAATCATATTTTAATATGGGGTTTCATCATTAGTTATAACATTTATCACCAAAAACAATTAAGGACAGAGAAAAATGGAAACTGATACCTAGCATAGTATATTGATTATTTATATGACACTTTAAATATAGCTCTAATTCACCTTGGCTAAACACTTTAATTTGAGTGACGAGTATTTTGTGTTAGCAGTTCCAATCAAATAAAATATACGTTGAAGTTATATCTAGGGTGTAGGATTGTGCATGGTTTAAAACGTTTTAACATACATGGAACCTATCTACAGTGTTAAAAATAATCTAACTTCTGAGTGGTATTCGGTTTATGTTAATACAACTGATCGAAAGTTTGTGGAAGATAACGGTATTAATTTTAACGCACAAATGAAGCATACATATCATTATTTGTACCTAAATACATTTCAGAAGAAAAAACAGTTTACACTGTATGAAGCATGTATTTACGCCTTTGATTCCAAAATGAAACTGAATTTTACAAATGTCCATTGGGAACCATGTTTAATGTGTTAAATCGTTTATGGATAACATTCCATTCCTTTAAATAGAGCGCTGAGTTACTAATTCATGGGTTGCTTTTAATTTTGTTTTATTTAACATTTATTATAACTTATTTTGGACGATGTGTATTTTTATGTGTGTACGCAGGGGACGGTATCAACACCCTCTAATATACGATGAATAGGAGATTATTACAGACATCTGTTTTTGAGATCGAACAAAAGATATAAGTATGTTTATCCATCCCTGTACGTTTTGAAATAACATCAAGCTTTTCGCAAAGTTGTGTTTTCCTGAATACAATCTAGTTCGCTTCAAAAATATAGAGCATATACCATATTTAATGAAAATGTTACATAAGCCACTGACATTGTATTTAATTAGTTTCAGACATTGTAGAATGTCTAGCGTTGCCCCTTTAATGTGCTAAAGCCAGTATCCTTTTGTTTTTTCATTTGTGAAGTGCCCTTGTTGTATTGTGAATGGTGCTAACATAAACTAACGGAAAAATTAATCATTTTTCATTGCGTGACAAAATGGTATTTAGACACAATTTGCACAGTGTACAAAAGTTTATAACTCTTACAGAGTGGAATGCTAGTTCATTTGCGTAATCATGTAATAAATATTATTAGAACTTGTCACCAAATGCATTTAGAAAAAGCTATCGTAAAACACATACTTTTCACATTCGACAGTCTGTATTTTGATATTACTTAAAAATGCATGGTTTTAGTATTGTTACATGACGCTTTTAGAAACAGCACACAGCCCTTTGTGTGAGACACAGTAAATTCCGTATTGAATGTTTAACCGTAAGTCGTCGTGATAAGCGCACATGTTTCCCAAAGCTGCAACTGTGTGTATGTGACGGAAAATGTATTTATTTTGTACCCCGTTTGTACATAGCATAGAGGTACCGAATCCTTGCATGCCCTAGACAATATGTACAGTGATGATGTTGTTAATGACAATTTCGATGATTGTATTGACAAAGATGTGATGTTGATGGTGAAAGAAAAAATGTCCATAAAGGATACAAAAGTAAAAAATTATTTTCAGAATATAATTCAGGTGTCCTTGTTTTTATTTGTTTCCGTTAAATTTAGAACATCAATGCATTTTATGTAAAAGGAAGTGTCCTTTCGTAACATTTAGTGTTGTTATAAAAAAAAACATATCGGCACTTTAAATTTAAAAAGGTTATAACGCGTCTATATCATTTGTAACACCAGAGAATGTTATGAAATGACATACAATATAAAGTTCATTTGTCAATCTCGGTCATTTTGCTTTTTTTTATTCCCAATCGTCTAACATGTATAAATAGTAAATTTAACTAAGATTTGGAGAGGGCCTAGTAAGAACTTGTGCCAAATCCTTTTGACCATTCAGTGTCAATTAAATATGTTTGCATGTACTAAGATTATAATAGGGCCATTAAACCACGTTCATGTTGGTTTGAAACTGGAATGAATCTTTACAGATTGTTAAAGATATAGCTCCACATGACCTAGGTATGTAAATGAAGTTTAGGTAATGTGTTATTTCATGGCGTTCAGCTCTATCGCAGAAATGATTATCGTATTATAATGTCTGTTAACTATTTTAATTGATGGATAACGGCCCTACTGTCTTACTACATACCACGGAAATAGATTATCTAAGTCCGTGTACATACTAAGTAAACGACGTTATGTACAAGTGTAATATATCGAAATTACATCTGAATTTCGATGTTTAATATGACTTATCATGGTGTTGAAGTTGAGATTATACCATCTTAGAGGGGGCATGTTGAACTTGCATTAAAGTCGTTTTGTTCGTTGTGTACTTTGGTAGCGAGATTATCGTCACTGCCATCCTGAAATTCTCGTCCTAGAATATAAATGAGATGCAGACTTTGTAGTATTAAAATTGGAAACTAAACGATAAGGTAAATATGCTACCACCTATCTTTATTAAACCATTGACAAACTCGGTTTCACGTTATACAGAACCAATGTCGTCAATGGGTCCATACTGGAATACAAATAGTCCTCAAATATTTATGTACCAAATTGATAGAAAAAGTTGATTGATCAAACATACATTATGTTAGTAGGGATCAAAAGACTATCTGCTAAAATAATAAGTAGAGAATAGGTTAAAGAAGCGGTTATTAAAAAAAACTCTTTATTCGTCGATGTCAAACAAAGACGAAATTTACTGCAATATGGACAGAACGTTAGAACGAAAATCCACTGCTAAAGAGTTCCGAAAGTTCATGGAAAGGTGACTATAATAAACGTTCACACGAAGTAGCGGAAGCGAGAATAAGGTGTTAATTTTCCGGCGGCGGCGTCAACATTATGTTTTTGCGTGTAACTTAGTTTCACTGAAAGTTAAAGCGTTAGACCAACCAAACATGGACCATAGATGCATCTTAGGTAGTACATCTCAACCCATGCATCAAATGCTAGACGCGGCCTACCTTTCATGGTCCACTGACTTTGTCAGCATCTCCATTAACATTATCTTTTTGTGTTTAAATTAGTTTCACTGAAACTATAAGTGCTAGACCAACCAAACTTGCACTATACATGAACATTGCATTGATGGTCAAAGCAGGCGAGACACATTAATCCGAATGGCTTTTTTGTTTGTTCCAAATGATGTTTCATTTAAAGTTTCCCATTTAAACGTTGAACTATTATTAATTCGATTTTGTTATCGGATAGATGCATGTTCAAAGATGAAAGTTGGATAGAATCAAAATAATTGAATGAATGAAACTTTTTCGTCGCCTTTAATAAGATTTGAATTTAATATCGAAATCCATAATTTTGATATCGGGTATGCATTTCCTACCATATAATTCTCGCTAAAACTGTCTTTTTTAATCAAATGGAATCGATAGTTAATTACGTTATCTTCGTGACTTTTTAATGGGAAAGTTCCTTTTAACAATGTAAAGAGGGCTAACAAACACACAAAAAACAGTGGTATTGTTGATTTTATTGATTTCGTTGTTTTCTAATTACAAGATATAATTATAACACTAATAATGCGACAATGACATTGTTCCTACCATCCAACATTGCATATGAAAAACATGATGTCGTCTTATGCCTTTATATATCAATCAATATTCTTCTGAACATTATATACATAACAACTGTTTCTCCAAAAACATTTCTCGAACAGCAAAAATGCCACTTGTAACGGAAATTCAGAAGTTCAGAAGTTGTTTATCATATTTCTACATTAACTTTATTTTGTACAACTTCAAATGACAGGGAAGAATCAAAATATCGTTGAAATCTACTTATTGCTACATTTGTACAATGTCAACCAAATTCTTCACTCTCCTTTTCTTGATAACATTTATATGAAACTTGAAAAGGCAATCTCTACCCCTTTTCTCTTCAAAAAAGATATAAAAGTATAAAAAATAATATATAAATAATTGTGTCAAAATGACAAAATGTATTAGCTCCTATCATATTGGTAATCGTATCGACTTGTTAATACTATATGTATAGCATTTATGCAGTTTTAACGAAATAGTCTATAGTTGGTAATTTTCGCGGGGATGAAATTTTGTTATTTTCGAGGTCCCCAGGCAAATTAAATACACAGCGAATATTAAAATCATGAATAGTGATCTCAATGGATATACATACTGATATTAATAAATTAGCTTTTAACCCGTTTAATGCCGAATACTAAAGATAAAACAACAATTCAATATCGTTTTGATAAAACATGTGTAAAATAAATCTCATTTCCCAAAGTCCTATCGTGACCAATATATTTTTAACTCCTGCAAACTAGTTCTGTTCGGGATAACAACGAAATATTTCCCTTGGAAATTTAACAACTGTACAGTGATAATAAAGAAAGTTTTCCGTTGATACACTTGAGTATAGTTTGCAGATACTAAAAGTTAAGAAAGATCATATCACTCTTTCATCAGCTCAAGCGTTATTAACATCTGTAACACGTATGAAAGTGTTCTGCGGAGTGTTAACCATTCCCTCAATTATATCAAGGGAAGGGAGACAATCCTGATGCTCCGGAAGTAGTTCGAACCGTTGTACTAGTGACGTCAAAATCAAAAAGAGTTCCATTCTGGCCATGGTTTCTCCCATGCACACACGTTTTCCTGCAATACAAATATTGATATTTTGATTGGTCAGAAATCTCAAATGCAATTTTATGTGTGGTATACGATAATAGAAAAACGCGTGCATAGTTGTTTTCAATATGTCAATATTAAATGCAAATTTAAATGAAAAACATTAAACATGCATAATTTTGTTTAAATCGATCCGTGTGTTTTCAAATTAGAAATGTTTGAAAAAGTGATGCATAAATTGAACGCCAGCATATTTTTCATTGGTTTTGATGTGAATAAAATCCAAAGTTATGCAGTTTCTTTCCACATTTTTCAGTTGGTCAATTTTGAGGGAAGTACCATTTTCAATGTTTTTGATAAAAAATCAAATTATAAAAGAATTTTTGAATATTGATGAAATCAAATCCCGATTTCATTACCCTGATTATATAATACACTTAAATACATTAACCTTTTAATAAAAATATCTTTGGACATAGCATGGAACTAAATCTCCTTGGATAATTTAAATATTTCTGATACTGCATTTTGTTAACATCATGGCGTTTTTGAAATTCATGTTACAAATATAATGCAAAAAGGTAAATAAGTTGGAATTTGTTATGTGCTATAGAGAAATGTTAAATGTAAAGAAGCATTAAATAATACCTAAGGAAAATGCTAATGTGACTTTCTCGTGACCACTGAGTTTCCCATCTCCATCGATGAATCGTTCGGGATCGAAAGTATCGGGATTTTCGAATTCATTGGGATCATTCAAAACTGATCCAACATTTGGAATAACAAATACTCCCTTCGGAATTGTGTAACCACCAATAATCGTATCCTTTGTCGCAGTGTGAGGCAAAGACAGGGGAACAACATTCCCACACCGTAGAACCTCGTTAATTACCGCTTCCGAATACGGCATTTCCGGTCTATCGCTGATGCACGGAGAACGGGAGTCGCCTACTACTCGGAATATTTCGGACCTCATCTTGTCCTGCACTTTAGGATGACAAATTAGATATTTAGCCGCCCACGTTAAAACTGTACTTGTAGTTTCGGTTCCAGCAAGGAACAGGTCTGAGAGACAAAGCAGCAAATTTTGATCTGAAAAACAAATACATGATATATATCCCTCAATAATGTACTATAAATAATATTATTCAAGCAGGCGATATGGAGTTATTTTTTCGCACGAATATCCGACTAAAAGGTCTCGAACATAGAATACGTAGTCGAATATGACCCTGATAATGAAAAGTCTTGTCTTGTATCTGAAATAGATATTTTCTCAATGAGACATTTTCATTGAAACAATTCCTACCTCTATGGATACCCTTAATCATATTCAAATAGTCTGTATAACAAATTCCAAAGCCTTATTTGTAGGTCATATTAACATTCATTCCCATTACAGGTGCGTTCTTCTTAATGCATAGCTGGATTTTTTTTAAAACTTATTACTGTATATAAATGATCAGCAAGTTTCACTTTTCCTTTTACCTGTAAATACAGTATCTGGGCTACATGTCCGACGCTGTTCATGGAGAAAGGCATCAATGAAGTCACGTGTCGTTCCTTCTGTGATGGTCTGTCTGTGGTTGTCAATTATTTCTTGAAAGATTTTCCATATAGAATTCGTATTATTTTCGAATGTTTTCATCTGAAGTAAATCGCCGGGAACGTATCTCATAAACGGGAACACACTTATAATACCTATAGATGCATTTATTTCTGATGTGGACTTTGCGTTCCTGACTATTTTCTGTAGCCTGGGGTCGTTGTGATCGAACCTGCAGCCGAGAGTTACGCTACCTATTAAAATTGTTATACTTGTCATTAAAATTGACTTTAGGTCAAAGGGTTTGCCACATTTGGTTTGAAGAACATCTAGGAATACCTCAATTTCATCCTTTATCGCCTTCTCACAAGACGGCTTTCCAAATCCAAACTTTTTCAAGGTAGTAGATGCAAATATTCTTGTTCGCCGCCACAATTCACCAGAACTTGCCACGAGACCTGAAAAATGACAAAGAAATCATATGATGTTTGTAATAAAATATGCATGTAATAAAATATTCCTATTCTAAGTCTATTGATAGGGTAACGGCGGGGGAATCTGAAGTTGGTTCCAAGTTCCGTTTAAGATAAACGGAACTGGGAAACACACCCTATTTCCGTTTTTGGAACTGGGAACCAGACCCTAGTTCCGTAAAGATAAACAGAACTGGGAACCAGACCCCAGTTCCGTATAGTAAACTTAAATGTTTTGTAATTCTTTCCGTCTCTACCTCGCAAAATGCAAATTCCAAGGCAAATAACGTTATCTTAATCCAGTACAGGAATCGAACCCATAACCTTTCAGACAAAAATTAAGACTTCCATAGCCCCTATAAAGGAATTGGTCTTGAACGGAACTGAAATCCAGAATCCAGTTACGTTTTTCCTTAAACAGAACTGGGAACAAGACCCCAGTTCTGTATAGTAAACGCATATGTTTTTTTGTAATTTATTCCTTCTGTACCTCGTAAAACGCAAATTCCAAGGCGCATAGTATTATCTTAACCCAGTACAGGAATCGAACCCATAACCTTTCAACAAAAAATTAAGACTTCCGTCATAGCCACAATAAAGGAATTGGTCTGATACGGAACTGAAATCCAAACTCAAGTCATGTTTCTCTTAAACGGAAATGGGTACCAGATCCTAGTTCCGTTTAAAAACTGAAATTACACCATCAATGCAACTTGGACCACAAAATTAGTTCAGCTTCAGAAAAACATCATAATCAGCCTTCTATAATCAACTGGGAACTCCAATTACATTTTTTTCATAAACGGAACTGGGAACCAGACTCTAGTTCCGTATACATGTAGTAAACGAATGATTTTAATTCCTTCCCTCTGTACCTTGCAAAACGCGAATTCGAAGGTGCTGAGTGTTCTTTTTTTAAGTATTGTCTTAATCAAAATAGGAATTCTTGATGAAATTTAAGATCCATTCATTAAAGATTTCCTTGGATATTGTATTGTGTATGTGTATCATTATCTGCTTACTGAAAAAATAACTGCTTGTGAATAACGAAAACTAAGACGGATAGGTATGGTTGTAAGAAATAATATATAATTTTAGAATGCAATGTTTAAGTCGATATCCTTAAGCGAGTTACAAGCACCCATCCTCACTACCACTCACATGTCGCCATTTGCAATAGGTGAGACATAGGGCTTTATCAAACGGTATTATGATATCATTGTAATGATATTGAACGAGCAAACCATTCATATCTGATTTATTTGAATACGTTAAACTTTGATTACAACACAGAGAGAGAAACTGACGTAGATTTTCATAATCATGGTAGAAAACGTCATAATTTAATGTCATGTTCCTAAAAGGCTTTTACATGTAACGTTGTATATTGAATCTTAAATGTTTGGAAATAAAAAGAGACTCATAATATATATGGCCCAACTTAATGTGATATTCATGATCTTTTAGTATTCATGATCACCCCACTTCCGTATTGTAGACGTATATGGTTTTGTAATTCTTTCCATCTCTTCGTCGCAAAATGCAAATTCGAAGGCGCAGAGAAATATCTATATCCACATAATCTTAAGACGTTTTTTCATATCTAGAGCTGAAATGAGATCTGAAAAGCCTTAATATGAAGCATTCCAATGGTACCACGTTTGTTTGTCCCACGTCTACCGGCTCTTTACTTTTTCTTCATAAACAGATCAAATATGATGAAAACACGGTATAACATTGGGATTAATCTGAAGTACAAGCTTTTTTTATGGTTACCCTTATTTTAAATAGTTACTGAATAGATCATAACCGTTACAATGAATGTGCGGATGTCTACATAAATGGTTTTGAAGATTCAACTGTAAAGAGGTTTTGGTGAGTAACATTTTGCTTATCTATATGGAAACACCATTGCAATACAGTATGTGACATGTGTGAGCACACATTGTGTTACCTAGAACTGGAATGCAATCATGATTATGATATAAATAAAAACCGATATTAAACTGGTTTTTTTCAAAGGTAAGGCTCCCAACCCCTTCAACCCCTCATATTCGACAACACATTATATCATTCTCTCGCTTGAAAAACAAATGAAAGAATACAATGGCCTACATCGTATATGTATTAACGCCTCTATATCGATAATAGCAGACATTATTTTAGGTATGTTGTCCACATTCAATTGACAGACTGCCATGCAAAGCTGAAAAGGACTTAATGCAATCTTCTTAAGGTGACTTGTGCATGTGTAAATGCTTGCATTAAGGTGATTTCGGGAAGGAAGTCCAAATTAGAAACTATCTAGACACATAAACACTGAACGACAAAATAAATATATTGTTGCCGAACAGAACGTTTACTGCAAAACCAATGTTATATTGTTGGAATCGCATCATTGCCAAGTAACAAAAAAATACAAATTCGCAGTAAATTTTCAAGTATAGCTATTGGCTTCCATACATTTTATACCCTGAGCGCAAATACACGACACTCTTAAGTTATGTGCGTGCAAATTGTGCCACGTGCCCTCGGTAAGTTTCCCTTGCAAAGGTCGTCAGGTTTGCATGTGACAACAACGTGACTAGACTTTCAATAATGGATAGAAATTGCGCGATAGTTAGATTTACGATTTAAAATCGACATTATCAAGATGAAATAAAATTAACTGATGCCTTTTATTGATTGAATACTGTATGTTGCCGGTTAGTATAGTATCAATATCGAAATAAGTGTATGATATTTCAATTTAAAAAGACGTGCATGATTTTGCACCATAGCAATTCTGATTGAAAGTATGGATTGACTTTATTGCCCTTCGTATACGTGCGGTGGCGGCGAATACAATTCAAATTTTATAAAATACATATCCTTTTTGAAAGATATTTTTTATCTTTATTAAAAGTATACCTTTGTAAGAAAGATTATCTGAAAAAAGCAGCCTTTTTTTCTGAAAATTTAGCAGGTATACAAGACAATATATTTCGAGAGCAAAGTTATAAAAAGCTGTTTTGAGAAAACAATCTGAGGAAAATCAAAATTTTGTCTTTGTTAGAGTTAATTCCCCAAAAACAGTGGTCTTTGTGAGAGAATAATCTAAATGTTTTAGGGGTTTCCCGCATATAAAGTGAGTTACTTAGAGCCTGAATTACAGTTATTTCACAATCCCTCCAGGAAAACAATTGGACAGCTCGGCTTTACCTCGCTGCCCGAGTATTCGTTTTTATTACATTAAGCGTTGCAACAATGCTCCTTCCCACTACACAACAGATCTCAATAAACAAGGAAAAATACAGTTTATGTCGTTATATAGGCTAGTAAAGATGTTTACATATTTAAAGTTTACATAAGCGACGTCTCTTATTTTTGCTTAATATAATACATTGGAAATATGTTATAAGTACATGATATTATGTACACACTATAATCTTAAAATCTGATCTGTTGTTTCATGGGTCTATCGAAAACAGGCTGAGGATCTACATTATACTGGCGGAATATGAAAACCGAAATGTATTTCACTAAAAACAAATACATTTCGACCAGCCAAACAGTTTTAAATCAATATTAACTTTTGTTTCAAATATTTTATTTCCCCAGCCAAGTATTATATATATATAATATACTGACTACTATATCAAATACTAACTTGATGTAAAAAGACACAAGTAATTGGGTTAATACAAGTAAACCATATGCTCGTACAAGGCTTTTAAAACTTACAGAAGATATAAACTTAATGGACCCTTTCAGATGTTTTCATCCTAATTATAGACTATCTACATGGAAAAAGAACCCTGTAAAACAAGCTAGATTGGACTTCTTTCTAACCTCAGAAAATATTTCTAACTATATTGATAAAAATAACATTCATATAGGTTTTAGGTCAGATCATTCAATTATCTCATTAGAAATAAAAATAAATAATTTTGTAAAAGGAAGAAGGGACATATGGTAATTTAATAATAGTCTTTTATATGATCAAGAATATGTACAAAAAGTTAAAGAAACAATAGATTAGGTAAAACAACAATACTGTTCACCTATTTATAATAATGATATTTCAAATGTAACAGATTCAGAACTTGTACTATGTATTGATTATCAATTATTTTTAGAAACATTGTAAAAGGAGATAACAGGAATTACCATATCACATTCATCATTTAGAAAAAAAGGAAAGTGATAAATGAGAAAAAGAATTAATATATGAACAACTTGAAGGTAACAATACATGGGCATCAAAGTTTGAGGCATATGAACGAAAGAAGATGGAGTTAGAAAATATTGGAATGAATAAAATGAAAGGACACATGATTCGTTCAAAGGTAACTTGGCTAGATAAGGGCGAAAAACCATCAAAATACTTTTGTTATTTAGAAACTTATAATTATGTGAACAAAACTATAGCTAAAATTGAAAAAGATAATGGTTAAGTTTTAACAAGTCAAGATGATATTCTTGCAGAAACAATGATTTTTTACAAATAGCAATATGCTGATCGTGACCACTCTGATAATCTAAATAATTTGTTAAATGGTCTAGAGTATGTTAAATTAACTGATGATCAACCTGGTTCTGATGGCTAAACAAGAGAGTTTTATAAATTCTGTTGGGTATATTTTAACATTTTTATTGTTAGATCTTCGAATCTTGGGTATAATAAGGGTGAATTATCAATTACACAACACAAAGACAGGGAATTATAACTTGTATTCCAAAGGGTGATAAGCTAAGACATTTTATGAGGAACTGGAGACCAATTACTTTGCTTGTGTATAAACTAGCATCAGCTTGTATAGCCAACAGACTTAAATCAGTTCTAGACCATGTTATTTCTGAGACACAAACAGGTTTTGTAAGTGGTTGATATATTGGTGAAAACACTAGACTAATTTATGACATTATAAATTATACTGAACAAGCTAATTCGTGGAATTTATATCCCCCGCTTACAGGACATATTGTAGGTTAACATTATTGAGGTTAAAAGTTAAAACATGTGAGTATCGTGCTGTTTAGACATATTGTATAGCTTAAAACTTGAAGAAAAAAGCCTTATACCTCAATGATTATCCGTAAAAAATGCACAAACCACATCGGTTGGCAAACTTAGCATGAGTCGGATGTGCATACGGAATTTGGTTGAACCATCTGAACAATATCTACAGCAATTATCACATGAAAACCAAAGAATGCCCGAGATGGGTGGAAAGACAGAGGAACACAAACATTGTTATCAAGTTTGAAGGAATTTGGCTAATATTTGCTAGAGTTATTAAGCGGAAACTGCAGATAATGACGTTTTTCGTTAATCAAGGGGCCACAACTCTGCCAAATGGAGTTCGATTAAAGTGGTTCTCAAACGTGTCCGAGCCCTTAATGCGTTGAACCCTTTTATTAAGTTTGAATACAATCGGATAATATTTGCGAGACTAAATGAACAGAAACGGCAGATAAAGATGTTTTTCATTATTCAAGGGGCCATACCTCCGACAAATGGGATTAACTGAAAATTGTCATCGAACATACCCGAGACCTTAAGGCATTTAACCCTATGACCAAGTTTGAAGAAAATCGGTTATTATTTGTTGTAGTTATTGCACGGAAACGAAGCGCGGCAGATAATGACGTTGTTTCATTATTCAAGGGGCCATAACTCCGCCAAATGGGGTCAGCTGAAAGTGGTCATCGTACTTGGCTGAGCCCTTAAAGCATTTAATCCTGTGACCAAGTTTGAAGAAAGTCGGATATTATTTGTAGTAGTTACTGCGCGGATACGAAGCGCGGCAGATAATGACTTTTTCATTATTCAAGGGGCCATAACCCCCTCAAATAATGGGGTCCGCTGACAGTGGTCATCGAATATGGCCGAGTCCTTAAGGCATGTAACCCTGTGACCAAGTTTGAAGAATATCGGTTAACATTTGTTGTAGTTATTGCACGGAAACGAAGCGTGACAGACAGACAGACAAACCCAAATTAATATCCCCCGTTTCGTTGAAAGCGGGGGATAATTAAACAATATACCTGGACTTCTAATATTCTTTGAATTTGAAAAGTGGTTTCATGGATTTCTTTATTCAATGTACTGAAATTGATTTTCTAAATTTTGGTGAAAGCATTCAGAAATGGATCAAAACTTTATATAAAAATACAATAACACAATAT